GAGAACTCAATCCTTTAAAAACATCATCTTCCGAAATAACCAAGTTATTGAAACCGAGTTAGTTATAGGATATGGGTAGTTTGATGATAAATCGAAATTAGCAATCGAAAAGTTTCGTCGGAAATAATCAGCAAATAGATTTGAGATTTCAAAATCATCCGAGGAATCAGAGCCATTAAAAGAAACATGAGAGGGATATGTGGAAATTTTTCTTTTAGAGTTAACAAATTTAAAGAAGAATTTAGGATTAGCAAACAGAGAGGATTTAATGAACTGAAGGTATCTCCAGTAATAATGATGGTTGAGGAAGTTAAATCTATGCCTCGCCACCGAGTAAGCGACATAGTCGAGCGCAGAGCCACTTTTCGAATATTTTTTGAATAGCGAGTTTTTTCTATTCTTGTGATATTTAATTGTCTTATTAAACAACGAGGGACACCTGCTTCGAGGTCGACAATGCTTGATCGGAACAGATGCAGCAATAGCTAGATTTAATGTATTGTAGAACGATGGCAATAAGCTTTCAATACTACCGGTTGAGAAATCAAGCGTCAGATGTGAAAGACGATGTTTTAGTAATGCAATATTGATTTTATGAAAATCATAATAATTATTTAAAAAAGTTTGATTTGGCATATTAAGGCATTTCAACAAACCATCGTTAATATGATGAAAGGAAATGCATATTGATGGATGATAAGGATCCTCAGGTAAACTAAAAGGTGGACAACGATTTACGTAAATCTCGGGAAAATTGGCAAAGCAGAGATCAAGCATTCTACCATTACAATTAGGGGTACGATTATATTGACCCAAATTATGATCAAACAATTCACTAAAGAACACAACAGCCCTATCAGACGTTGAAGTAGGAACCAAACAGCCAGAATTATCAGTGCTACACCAAGTGACTTGAGGCAAATTGAAGTCACCCAATGCAACGACCAAACCAGTGGGTCTAGACCGCTTGGCCACTTCACAAATGAGGGAAGCGTGTTTCCTGTAAATGGAGATGTCGGAATTTGGGGGAATATAGGAGCAGGTTATAAATAGATGTTTATCAGGCATATTCGCACGAATAGCGATAAATTCAACGTCAGGAGAAGTGGGAAATTCAATTAAATTGGACAGGACTGACGCAGATATGGCAATTCATACACCACCACCAATGCGATTCACTCGATCATTTCTAAACACTTGGAAAGAATTATGGAAAAGTTCCGACGAATGAAGATCGGGTTTTAGCCAAGTTTCAGTAAAGGCCGAACAGAAAAATTCCGTGCTCACTGAATTTAGAAAAGTGGAACGAATTTTCGAATTTAGGCCTAACATTTTGATAAATGAAAGATAGTGGGCCTGAAGAAACAATTAGTTTTTTGAAGGCGACAAGGCTATTGCCTTGGTATTACGGGGACGATCTCGAGGGATTAATTCCTTAATTAAGGATCCTACTGGCTACAGTGATTTGTTTAACAACATATCACTGTTTTCAGTCGGAACTAATATTTTAAAAGAGGAGATTGACCTAGCTTGAGAAGGAGCCATTTTGAAGATGCTCACAAGCTTTAAGCTGACTGATGGGACTTTCGTCGCCAGATAACCTTTTATGTTATCCACCGATGTTTCAGTTGCCAGTCTTGACACAAATATTGCTTTTCTGGGAGGAACTGCCGTCAAGCAAATGCCATTATTTGGAACAGGAGGGGGGTTCACGGTAGGAGAGTTTCGAGTTAGGGAAAATATAGATGGGGTTATCGCCCTTGTACTGGCAGCTTGTGAGACTTGCCCAGTCTGGTGACCAGCATTCACACGTGAACAGCCAGGAGGAGAGGATGATTTATTTTTCTCTTCATTACTTTTAGGCGATGGCGCTTGATTAGAGTGAGTGGCGGCTCTGGGCGGAGATACCCTTGCCACTTCAGCGTAGCTCAAAACCGATGGACTTGCCGGTTTGTTTGTAACTGTTTTGCTACCAACCGACTCAGCAATATCGGAAACATTACTGTTCATCTTAGAGTTAGAGGGAGCGGTAACTTGTACCAATGAATTAGATTTGGAGAAAGCCAGAGGTGACGTCCCACACGCTACGCTGCGAGTAGAAGATGAGTATCCAATAAAGCGACACTCATCAAACCTAGACTTAATGAGCTCAAACTTTTCCCAGAAGGAGCCGAGATTTCTACTCAATTCCGAGAAACCATAACGGTTTCTCTGTTAGGTTGACACTGTAACGAGAGATCAATAGCAACACAAACTCCAAACAGCAAAAAAATAACAGAGAAAAAGAGAGAAAACAAAAAAAAAGAAGAGAGATTTATAACAGAGCTCAAAATTTTTGTTTGCAAAAATCAAATGAATCAAAGCGTAAGGGAATAATATTTCTTTTACTTTGAATTCACTCACTTTCTTCTCAAAGTATATTATAAATTCACACACTATAAGGCAGAATAGCCACGAAATTCAACAAAAAATTAAAACATTAATTGCCGAAACAAAATATATACGACTTTACCGCGCGACAGAGTTACCATTTGTATGATTTATATCTAAATATAAATAAAATAAATAGCTTTATTTATATAATAGCTTTATTATACATTTAAAATACTTTATTATTATATATAAAAATATATATAAAAGAAATTGTTATTTTTTTTAATGTTTTTCTGATTGTTTCCGATTCTTCTTCCCCAAGGCTTGGTCGCTTTTGCTCTTCTATCATCTCCTCTAGATGTTTTGGAAAATACGCAAATTAAACTTAGTTAATTTTACAAGTTATGCGCCTGAGTGGCAAGAGTCTCGCCTTTTAACTCAACGTCGTGCCAGTGCATGCATAATACCTATGGAGAGAGGTGAGTTAAAATGTATAACTAGTACACATATATTCGTACAATGTTTGCTGACTAGCCCTTCAGAGACTTTAAATGATCGTAATCCTATTTTCTTAGTCATAGATTCTCAATGTCATACATGCTTGAAAGTGTGAAGATTTTACCTAATTGAATGTGTCAAAGGTTAATATCGAACATTTAAAATTTCTTGTATTTTACAAGTTAGCTTACAATTAAATCGTCATAATTTTTAAACAACGCCCTCGCTAAATTCCCTGTTGAAAGGCAAAGCACAGAGTCGCTTATAATATATATAAATGGTTAAAAGCCCAACTTAACAACTTAAATGTTAACGCCAATCAGCTATGTTAAACGCGCAACTTAACAGACCAGAAGGGTCCAACTCTGTAAAATAACGGACCAAATTAACAAAAGCCGTCGGCAAAACAAAAACTTAACATTATCTAACGGACCAACTTAACAAAAGCCGTCGGCAAAACAAAAACTTAACATTATCTAACGGACCAACTTAACAAAAGCCGTCGGCAAAACAAAAACTTAACATTATCTAACATCAACTTAACAAAAGCCGTCGGCAAATCTTTCTAGTAGTTGCTGGCATTTTCCACATTTCAGTTAGATTATGACGACTATCTGGATACATGGGTGGAATTTACTGAATTATGTATAGAGTGAACACTTAATGGGTTTTTTACGCAAATTAGTTTGGTTTTTCAAAGTATAATTTATTTTTTATCTAAAGTGCGGTAGATTTTTTTTTGATGCTAGCGCTTTAAAAGCAAAGAATTTATTCTCTGAGTAAATTTATGATAATAATACTAATTTTACAAGTTAGCGTAAAATTAGACCGCCATAAATTTTACTATCAAATTAAACAAAGTCCTCGCTAAACTCCCTGTTAAAAGGCAAAGCACAGAGTTACTTGTAATAAATAAAAAAGTAGTCAAAAAGTGGCAGCTCTGTTAAATGGTTAAATGCCCAACTAACTACTTAAATGGTAATGCCATTCAGTCTGTTAAATGTTCAAAAAGTAGTCCTGACACAATCAATTCTATGTTTGCGTTGTTAACGCTCCGTTGTCATAACTAGTTTTATAGTTTGGACAAATACCGTTGCCAAGTAATAAAAAATATAAAATTGAGGGACTTTTGCCGACGAATTAACATAAAGTATTAGGTTCTTTCTGTAAATAGCATAGAGTATTAGGTTCGTTCTGTAAATTAGCAGAAAATTTAGCTTTTTTTATTTCATTTATATTTATAATAAAAAAAAAATTACGGCGGTCTACTTTTAGGCTAACTTTTAAAATTATTATTATTATTATTATAAATTTAGCCAGAGAATAAATTCTAAGATAGCGTCAAAAAAAATTTTGTCCAACTTAACAAAAAACAAAGGTCCAACACTGTTAAAATGCAAAACAAAACAAAGAGCCAGATCTCTTAAATCACTTTTCTCGATTAAGTTATTTTATATTTTGGATGTTATCGATATCGTATGGTGGTTGATTTCATCATCACCTAAAAACAAATTTTTGCCGCTTGACTAAAGCCTTAAATACTAATATTCTTTCGATAATTATGTTATGTATATGTTTTGTAATACGCTAGAATAATTTCGATAGTTTTTTTCGAGCACAGTGCTGCCACCGAATTGAACATTTTTATTTACTGTGAATCTTGAATATGTATTATACAATTTTATTTTATTTTTTGGCAATAAAAGCTTTATTTAAGTGAATAAAACCTTTATATTTGGAGTCGATATTGCCCAAAGTTTTAAAACAATACACATAAAGAGCTTGGAAGCAAAACTAAAAATAAGCATAAAAAGAGATGCCTAACGCTGTAGGGAATAATATGTAATCTCATCGAATCGCCCATTTATATCGACGCGTCATATTTATATTATACAATTTAGTTATACAAGTTTTCAAGTTTGCCTTAAAGATACTGCAAAAATATCACGTTTTCTTTGTTTTTGTATGCTATAACCCAAATATTTCTAAAACAAATTTTTTATAGATTTTGAAGAGTTTGCGTTTTTTAGATGTATATATATATACGAACGTTGATTTATAATTAGATATAATGACAGTTTGGCAACATTGTGCTCAAATCCGCCATTTCTTTACTACGAAAAAGTGTCTCGTTGTTCACGCGTTTTCTCATTCGTTTCTTCGTGTTCAATAAAAAATCCCGAATTTGTACAATTTAATATTGAACTTCTTTTAAAGTCATACGTTAAATGCTTCTTTCATAAATAAAAAGAAAATTTATAAGCGGTCAGTATTGAATTCAGTAAATTAAGCAATTTTTTTTTTTATATTTCTGAGTGATACATCGTTGAGAGTAAAGTTGTCAAAAAACGAAAAGAAAAAAATATTGCGAAAGCAAACGATGAAAATGTGTTTTGCTTTGTAAGTGCAAGTGAAATAGATTTATTGTATGCGACGGTAAAGCAATAGAAACTGGTCGCAAGTACCAGCGACTCTCGAGGCCAACGAGTTGATATATGCCATTTTTGAGGAACAGAAAATTTTATAATAATATACGAAATAAAATAGACTGTAATTTTTCAACAAGAAATATAAACATTCGTATTTGATTTAACACAGTTGTATGGACATACATCGAAGTGTAACAAAAGCAATCTTCAACGAAAAAAAAAATCCTACAAGGGACGCCAAGCTCTAGGGGGTGCAGTGTACATGTATACGACGAGAATTGCCTTACTGCTATTTGTAGTTGTGTATGGGAATTAGGAATATTGCTTGTGTTAAATAACAACACAAGCTGGTTTTTATTACACGAACAACAATCCACGTTGAAACCTTAGAAAATGTCGGAACATGCTTCACATGGTGAATCAATTCACGACGATGAAGCTATTGAAAACACTAATATGGATGATTCCACCAATACCAACGATAATGTAAGTATATCAAACTATCTCTCTCACAACTTCCGAATATATGCTATACAACATATATCTAAAAGCGATACCTTATTTCTAATTAAATGGGAATACCTTTCTATATTAGGGTTGTATACTTAATTTTTGTACAGATTTTTTATTATCTTATGTAATTTAGAAAGCCTTTTCAATATTCCTTCAATTTCACTCAACTTATAATATTTTATTGCTTTTAGTTTTCGTTTCTATTTTACTAACAATATTTTTATAAATATTCTTGACGGCTTTTTTTGCTTACAGTCCATTATCGGTAAAGTGAAATCAAGGGTCTCGAGCATTTTGCCTGATCGAATTTCGAAATGGTTTTCAAATTCAACAAAAACCCGAAACGATTCTTCGCTTAATGGGGGCCTAATTACGAACGTTGCTGTGAAAAGACGCCGCCGTTGCTCAGAAGTTGACGATGAAGATGCCAACGAAGACACAAATGATGACCTGCAATCTAAATATGAAGAATTTGATGAAAACACCCGATTTCACAGACAAGAGGAAAATTCGGAAGAAGACGACGAGGAAGAGGACGACGAGGATGAAGAGTCGCACAACAGTGAAGAAGAGGTCCATAGCGGTGTACCAGGAAGGCGAAATTTGAATTCCTTCCCTCCTGCAAAACGTTCTCGTTTACATATAAATGTATGCTCAAAAAGAAATGTTGTAAAATTTGTTTATTAACTGAAACTAACCTTTCGTTTTAGAGCCCTTGCACCCGCAGTAGTCCTTTAATTGGGCACTATCAATCCCTCCTTGCTTCAACTCCTGCTATCAGTAGTAGCAATAGTCGCAGTAGTAATATTGGCGTGGTGCCACGTTCATCTTATCAACGTTACGGTCATTTAAATTTATATGGTCACCAGAGCAGAAAGGAACCTCCTTATGATTTTAACACCTCGAACTCTAATTTAAAAACTGATATCATTGACTTAATATCTAATCCAACTGATTTAGAGAAAGAATTATCTTCTGTAAAAAGTGGCGCTTTAAATAGTTCGCGAATAAGGTAGGTGGTTACTGAAAATGTCTTAAATGTAAAAATTAACAAAACTTTTGTTTTTAAAAGTTCGCGTAGAACCTTGAATTTACCACCAACTTCCTCAAATGCTACAAGTGAGCACTATTTTGCTACAACCTCTCATCTCAAGCGTCAACCGTTGTCAAGTGTTAAACAAGATTTTTCGGCAGATATAGAACCTGGAATAATCAGACGTTCTTCGACCACAATCCACGAAACTGTCAAGACGGTCAAAACTCAGGAGCAAGTTGAAGATATTAATCAATCAAGGAAATATAACGGACGTTCAGAAGAGGAAGAAGATGATGTGGAAATAAGTCAAGTTGGTATGAAAAGACGAAAACTTATAAACGGTTCGCGTAGAGATGCAAACCAAATCATGGCAAGTAACGATACCGGTTCAGAAAGCGGCGAAAGTGGGATTGTAGATACAAACAGACATACAACAGTGGACAATGGCGAAAGAGAAACTGAGAACACATGTCAGCAGCGGAAGGCGGATTTATATAACATGACCCCAGTTAGTGACAGTCGGCAAGGTAGTCGAGCTTCATCTTTTGGGAATGGTCTGAACTTCTATTCCCACTTGGAAGGACGCAAATCACTGTTTGCTGAACCTAATACTCACACTCCTGTATCTGGCAATATGCTTAATACTTCTACTCTGTCACTGAATTCCTTGAATCGCCGCCAGTTTAATGCTTCGATCTACGGCAGTACGTCAGCTTTAAGCGACAGCCGTTTACTGAATACTTTTTCACCTTTTTATACAGGAAAAACTACATATGGTGGCGCAGCGGCTTATCACAAGAATTACGCTAGTACCGGTGCTGGTGCAGTACGCATAGCCCCCACATTGATACGTCCCAATTCAAGTCTATCAAATTTGTCGTCGTCTAACAACTCTTTATCTGCCACTGGTTATCCAGGTGAAAATTCAACTGTATCAAGTACGGCCAAACGAATACTTGATTTGATTAATGATTTCAGTACGCCGTTAGGTGAAGCTAAGAAAATAGCGAATAGCTTCAGAGCAAATATGCCTCAGCTTGCGGGTAGACTTAATGAGAATGAATTAAACGCCTCACGTGCCATACGCTTGTCTCATGTGCGCGCACCTTATGCGAAACCGACCACCGCGGTATTGTTGCAACCCTCTGCAAGTGTAAATGCTCGTTCATCTGGATCTCTGCCTCCCATAAAAGAATTACAGGTGCCTTCAATGTCACAGTTACTGCAAATGAAAAAGATGCAAAATACAACCGAAAAAGTTCGTCAGATCACTAAACATAATATGAGCTCAACCACGACATCACCAGTCACATCCGAATATGCTTCACCCACGAATGAAGAATTAAGGAGAAAAAACAGCAAAATAGTTGAGCAACAGAAACATACCAATAAAATTAGAAACAAAATCAGCAGCTCTGCTCGTGGTGCAAACTCTTCCAATGATTTAGTTGCTGAAGCTCCTCCGCTGCCGGTGAATTTACCAAACATTGCTTTTCCAATAATGAAGGCTGTGCCCCAATTCGATATACAGTTAGCAGTGCAACCTTCGTCTGCGCCCTCAGTCATTTCAAGTAATGCAACAAAGCAGCAAGCACCTACCACACCAACTGGCCTTGCCCAAAATGAACAATCAGTCAACACATTAATAATTCCAACAGTTTCAGAGTCAAGATTAAAAACCTCCGCTTCGAAATATGGAACTAACTTTATATTTTCGTCTCCAACAACAATTAAGGGTATCTCCACGCCGTATGCTCAAAATATGAAATCACAAAACGCGAAACACTATAAATTCAGTTTACCTATATATTTGCAAGAAACTAGCAAATCCATAAATTGCTCAGGTAGTTTAGACAACAAAATTGGAACTCAACTAAAATGTGGAAGCGTTTTAGAAGCCCTAACTGAAGAACCATTGATTTCGGCCAATACAAAAGAACAGACTTCCGAAAGTACCCCTGGGAGTACTTTTAAGTCATTCGATTTTCAGTTAAAAAAAACCGACGATGAATGGGAATGCAGCGTGTGCATGGTACGCAACAAGTCAGAAGCTGTGAAGTGTGTGGCCTGTGAAATTACCAAAAAAGTTGAAAAGCAGCAAACATCTCCGAATGATAATGTCAATTTGTCATTGGCTTCTTCTAGTTTTGGCAGTCAATTTAAGAAGAATGCAGATGAATGGGAATGTGAAGTGTGCTTGATTCGAAATAAACAAGAATCGAACAAATGTATTGCATGCGAAACTAGTAGGAAAGGCTCTTCGTCGATATTGGTTGCTGATAAAGGATTTGGCGATTTGTTTAAGCTTAAATCAAACGTTTGGGAATGTAGCAAATGCTTGGTGACAAATAATATTGAGGCCAATTATTGTATAGCATGTCATAATAAAAAACCCGGAAAAAATGATGACGTTATCATTAGTAGTGGGCCTATTGCACCAGCCAGTAGTTTTAAATTTGGGTTTGCAGCAGCAAAATCAATCGATATTAATCGTACAACCACAATCACCTCGAATATCACCACGCCTGTGGCACAAGATTCTGGCTTTAAATTGCTGGCATCCCAACAGAGAGCATCGAAATGGGAATGTGAGGCTTGTGCGACTAGAAATGATATTAGTCGTATTAAATGTGTGTGTTGTGAACAGCCCAAACCTGGATCAAATTTTGCAGACACCTGTACTAACAATGCCCAAAAATTTACATTTGGTGCTACCGCCGACAAGTGTACATTTGACTTCCTATCAGCAAGTAATGTTTCAAAGAATGGAACCGAATCAAAGCAGACAACAGCAGCACTAAGTAAGACCGTTGGCCTGGGTGTAAAACCTGCTTTAACCAACACAGACTTGGAAACCGAAATACCGGTTTCGACAGGCGAAGGATTTAGTTTTGGTGCAACATGCAGTGAAAACAGTAATAAAGGTGCATGTGATGGTACAAATAGAATACAGCAAGGCAATGTGCCCACGAGTACCACAACCGGATTTACATTTAAAAAAAACGAAGACACTAATTCATCCACATCAGATACATCAACAACAGCAGCTAGTTCACAAATTACTTCACCGGCAACTACCACAAGCTCTACGCCAAGTGTTAAATTTCATTTGGTAAATTCGACGAAAACTGTGTCAAGTACTGAAAGTACCTTCTCCGGCAACACTGAAAAGACTTTACTAGAAACGGTACCGCCAAATACTTTTAGTGGATCTCTGTCCACAATAACTTCTTTAAGCACATCGGCTGTCGATAAGACTCAACCAAAATCAGACGAAAAGAATCTATCACCAATCACATCAACCACAAATAAAAGCCCTCTTGGCTATGGGTTCGGTAATTTTGCTGCTACTGTTTTTGCAACGGCGTTACCTAGTTCAACAACAAACGTCACCACTGCTACAACAGCTGCAACGAAACCCATGTTTAGCTTAGTTTCATCAAATGTTTCTTCAGCAGTTACGAGCAGCTGCAGTGGCTTCGGTGGTTTCAATTTTAGTAGCTCAGTGCAGGCGAGCAATGTAGGAAAACCACTTTTCGGAGCAGTCACCTCAACATCTGCGGCAACTACAACCACTACTGCAGCTAGTAAAACATTCACAACAACTACAGCTTCTACTACGAACATTTTCGGAGTATTTGGTTCCAATGCCATCGTAAGTTCCTCAACCAATAGTAGCACTCATAATCCGATAGCTAGCACATCCCAATTTGGTACGTTTAATAAAAATTCGGTTACCACTGGAAATATGTTCGGTTCTTTCGGTGACGAGCACAAATCGTCGAAGTCGACAAATGTGTTTAGCAATGCAACGACTAGTAGCGGCTTTAGTTTTGGAACTTCAACAACAACATCAGCATCAACGTTAGGAACTTCTGCGTCGGCAACAAGTTCGAATAGTATGACTACCGTCGGTGCCACTCCGACGACCAGTGATGGAACATGGTCCAATAATTTTACACTAAATACCAAGGAAACAAACAAACCACCAATGTTTACTTTTGGACTTCCGAATAATGACAAAGCACCTACAACTTCAATTTTTGGTGCAACGTCTAACACAGAAACCAAAGCCCCTACCTTTGGTGGGGTAAATAGTTCGGCAGTCAATTCGCCAATTAACATTTTCCCCACCAACCCAGCGCCGCCATCAACGAATATATTTAGGACTGCGCCCAGTGGAAGTGCTGCTACGCCAACACCCCCTTTTGGAACATCTCCATTCGGAGGCGCGGCTTCTTCTACAAATGTAACGCCCACATTTGGTAGCACTGCAGCTGCCAGTTCTACGACAACGTTCGGTGGCTTTGGAGCTACAACAGCACCGATTGCTAATACAGCTTTAGAAGCGAAGAAACCACCATTCGCGTTTGTGGCTCCAGCTGCCCAAAGCTCAAGTGTAAGTAATATACATGCATTAATTGTGATACAGGCGCAAACGTAAAAATATAAGTGCAAATAAGTTTGTATATATAACTAAAAATTCTCTGTTTTAGGGCTCGTTTTCTTTTGGTTCCGCAGCTACCAACATAGCAAAGCCTGCATTCAACTTTGGAGCCACAGTTACACAACAACCAGCATTTAATTTTACCGGATCTAATGAGGTAAGTACGTTAAAAATATTGCAGTAGAGACCTAACATCGTTTTATATATAAAATAGCAATAAACAATTTTCAGTTTGGACTATTTGTTCTTAGTAGACTATATTAATGAATCAATCTATATATTAAAACTTTGTCTTTTCTCTCTCTTCTTTTTTTTATATTGTTCTCGCATATACTTTTGTAACTTTTAATGTAACAAACTGTGATGTAAAATTTTTATGTCATCTTATCTACTGTTCGTTCGTGCGATGAATGATTGTTGTTATTGTTAATTGATTTATGAAATGATTTATGTATGAATGTGTGTGTTGTGTGTTGGATTCTACCATTCACTTGATCATGAACGCAGTCGTCTCAAAACTCGACGAAACCTTTTCAGTTTGGCGCTACACCGGCAGCTGCGGTTTTTAATTTTACCGGTGGTTCAACTGAGGTAAAGTAGAATGTGAACTGACTGGATTTGTATATTATTCTTATCATAATTATGTTCATTTCAATTTTATTAGACAATAATTTTAATGATTGCCAATTTGTGCTTAATTCTGGTAATTTTCTTATAAATTAATTAACAAATTAATAACAGACGGTAGCGAGTAAAATTTAGTCGAGTGTTCAGAACTTTTTTTTTTTTTTTTTTTTTTTTTTAAAAATTTTTTTTTTTTAATTTTTTTTTTGCAAAATTGTCTTGAGAGAAAATTTAGAAGTTAGCTTTATCATCATCTAAAAGTGATAAATAATTGTGTAAGCATTTATAAAGATATGCTTTCGTATCTCTGACTGTAAGTTGAGTTAGAGATCTGAAACGCAATCGCGCAAGCTGTTCCCCCATTAAGTATAAATTTAAGTAGGAAACTTCTATCTATTTGGTAAGTCTTTCCATCTTTCTAATAATTCGTCCCTCTAGTATTAGCAGTCTAAAAGTTCACGCCAATTATGAATGGAAAATTGAATCAATGGGGGACTATAATCATACATACTACTTTTATACATTTATATAAAAGAAAGAACGGTCGAACGGTGAATGCATGAAATACTGCAACAGAAACAGTCGCAATCAGAGATTGACGTTCACATTATATTTTCATTTCTCGCGCTCTGATCATATTTTCATGGGAACTTTCGAGAGGTTTTCGAAAAAATTCAAACCCCAATGTTCAAATCCATAGATGTTGTATGTCATTGGTTATAGACCAAATTATATTGAAATGTTCGCACTGTATCACAGTTGACCCATATATCTTATTCAAGAATGTGGATGCGAGCGAAGTTTCAGTTTTCTATCTCAATGTCTGCTATTTTGTTGATGAAGGTGACTAAATTACATGTAATGAATGTATTTGATCTTATTATCAAAGGCGCGGATTTGCGAATGTTGCGCCTGGGAAAAGAAAAATATTAAATTAGGAGTATTTAAGTTGATGGATAGCAAACATTTCCCTCAAAGCATTTTTTTTAAGTTCTAAGCTATTATTTTTTATAAAAAACTTATTCTACCCATCAGCGGACGTTGAGGATATATTAATTTTGACGATACGTTTTTTAATATCCAGAACGAAGCGTCACAGATCCCTTGAATATATAAGATATATAAGATATGATTCAATAAGTTCGTAAGATGATAGATGAATCTACGTGCATGCATCATTTGTAAATATCATGTCATGTGTCAAAATTTTATAATATTCCGACCATTGGTTTACCAGTTGCAGTTGTTTTAATGACGTTAACTATGTTTCTGAAAAACAAATTCAAAATTGGACTTTCGTATGCAGCATATTGAAAATGAGTCAAATTGGTTAGAGGACATGTCTAATGTGCAACATAACCTGAGTAACTTCTAGGTTTTTTGCTAATTATTCATAAACCACAACAAACATACGACAAAGATATGCAGCTATATCTCATAAAAATTGAAAACTGCATCTACGCCCATTTAATATTATAAAATATGAAAATTTAGTTGTGAACGTGCTGCGAAACACATTATTCTGATTGTTAAAATGGAGATAATCAGCTTCAAATTTGGTACGAACACTAGAAGTTCTTGCACATAAATGCATACTGAAAATGGTCGAAATTGGGAACAACTCAATATTGAAAAGCAAAAAATGGATCTCATTACTCATAAACTGCAACAATAAATATATGCATATTTTAATGCAGCAACAAGGTAGTGGGCATAGAAGATTTGATCACAGCCGAACATAATTTGCTTACTTGTTCGAATTATAACTTTGTTCAAAATTTCTGCGTCAGTCTTTCGACGCTCATCTCTTGGATTATAATCACAAATCATCGCAGGAATCATAATTTTAACGCTATAACTGGTCATGGTTTTTCCGCTTTCCTTTTAATCCATATACATTCTCTCATATATAATGTAATATGTAGAAGTACATCCTAGAGCTAATTATTTATAGTAGAATAGAGTAAAAATCTGATTCAAATTAATTAATCTTAGAGAAGCCGATATTATTGAAATTAATCAAATAAAAAACAAACAAGTAATGAAAGTATGCTTGATTACAGCGATCGTAATAGAGGTAGAAAGATTAACACGTTGACGCTCACTTTAAAATCAGTGAGTGCTTCTAAAAATACATTTACTTTTTTATACCTATCATCGAAGGATGAGAGGTATACTCATTTTGTTAAAACGTTTGTAACGCCTAGAAGGAAGCATCAGAGACCCCGCAAACTATATGTATATTGTTGATCAGCATAAATCATCTAAATCGATTTAAATATGTCCGTCCGTCCGTCTATGTAATACCTATTGAGGACATTCTCATAGTCGCAAAAATGAAGCTATCAAAATTTATTTTTTTCAATACCTTTATAACACGCAGAAACAACGGTAAAAAATCCCATAAATTAAACAAATTCTTGGCCAGTTTCAAATTTGGAATGCCCCTAACCATTTACGCCTATTCGTCTATCTACCTCTCTCTTTGCGCAGCTTTGCAGTATTTGCGGTAAGAATTCTTCCGTTAGCGAAAATGAAGATATCGCCTACAAATTTGCAAAAGAATTTGGAATTGATTTAAACATTTCAAGGTACCCGCGTACAACGCCCGCATGCCTATTAGACAAAAACTTTTATTTTGAAAAGAGAAAAATTAGCTGCGTCCACTCCATATATAGAGCATGTTGAAAATGTTGTTCTTTTACTTGTTTTGTCTTTTTTAGGATAACGGTGATGGGTATAAAAAAGATTCGGTTCCGAATGAATTGAATTTTTTTTGTTTTATACTACTAAGCATACAGGACTGCTATAGACGTCGTGTTGATCTACAAGCACACGTAATGGACGTATACAGAAGTAATTTACACCAACGGATGAAAGGAATCTTATTTATTATAATAAAATTACTTATATCACTTAATTTTACTTGCTGCCTGCTCTCTATCAGTTTGCTTATGACCGCATAAATTGACCGCGAAAAATTGTATATCTCACATCACTTACATTTAATTAATAATTAATTTTATATTACTAATGTAATCATAATTTTAAATTCATATTGCAGTACATATATATTTATATATATACCTATTTTGCGAAAGATACAACTAATTAAATTAATGACAATCAATCTTTTTGCAGATTGCATCAAGTGCACCTTTCCAGTTTAATGCCGGCAGTTCATCAGCTTCTAGCAATATATTTGCGTAAGTATATTACAAGCTTCAAAATATTTTATCATCCATCTTTAATCAATATTGAAAAGAAAGGGTCACACCTTAAGTTAATGATTTAATTTTATTGTTAAAAATTTTTGGGGAAATTAAGAGTAATTTAGACGAACGACAGTACCCGATACACTCATTTTAAATAATTAATTTTTTTTGTAAATACGAATTTACTTTGGTTATGTCATTCGTTAATGATGTTCTTAATAACCGTTATTGATTCGAATCGTTTCTAAATACTGCTTGATAACGTAATTCGTTTGATTCGTGTAATAATTTTATTCATATACGTGACAGTTAGGTAAATAACGGCCCCAATCTGCGTTTGTGTGTTATTATAAAACATAAAATTCGGGCTATGGAAAATATAATGTACTTAATAGTTCACTTATTCAATAACCTTTATACCAGATGTAAAACCATTGATAATGATTCAGCGATCAAATCGCCATTTTTCTTAATTTGTCGCCCATAAATTGAAGTTACGTTGGCCGCATTCTAAGATTTTTTTGTCCAATCTTAAACACACGCAGATTGAAGTATTTGCTTATTATCAGGTCTTTGATCAGTCATAGACATACACAACAATCGCCGAGATTGGCGAATAAATAGATTTGCGTTAACGCGAATATCATCTTCCTTTCGTACGTTTCCATACATATGATCTGTCAAAGCAAATAGTACGATGAAGTTTACTTAAAAGCCACGACAACTTATGACTGCAGGGTTGAATTATTCTTAAAGGTTTTCGATGTGTCTATCTCGGATCCATTAGGTGGTTAACAGCGAAATAAGCTCAGTAAAGGACATCAGGATAAACTTTTTTTATCAAAAAAGTCGCATCATTATATGTGTTTCATTAAGTAATTGTTTATGCTTTTTTATTAGCGCCTTAAAAAAAACACCTTTTCAAGTAGTGTCAAACGGTATGACGTACGCAGATTCATAATAGTTTACCAAATCGCTTTATGTACTTTTTACCAAAAATTCTAAATGTTTAGGTTTGAGTTTATCGCTGCTATATGAGTAAAAATGTAAGAAGCGAAATTCTTAAACTTTACAAAATATATTTTCATATACAATTATTTATAAATAATTGCCAAGATTTAGTTGAGATTCCCAATACTCATACAAAAATTATAAGGCTGAGGACTGAATATTACGAAATGTTGAGAATCCTTATTATATATATAAGCATATATATACGCGCACATATATATATAATTGAATTTGAATCGCAGCTTCATTGTATATATATATATATATATATATATATATGTCTCTTTCTGTAACTTAAATTTTAGCGAATAGCTCTTATACAACATATTATAGATATTTATATGTATAATATATATTTTATATATAATATATATAATATATTTTTTATATATAATATATACATATCTGTATATATATATATATATATATATATATATATAAATTTATTCTTAGTGATCATTTTCTTCCATTTAGCCCGACGCCAACATCTGGTGCCCAATCGGCACAGCAAGCGAGACGAAAAATACGTACGCCAGCACGGCGCACGACACCGCGGTAGAGATGTTAAAGAAAAAAACGCTCTTTTAGGCGTGGACCAGGAACAATAGCAACATAAACAACAGAATAATCTACAGACACGACTAGAAAGCGGACTAATACAAAAAACAATTATTAATAACTACGAGCACTTGGACGACAATAACGAGCAATTTCAAACAAATAAAGACCGGACTAAAATAAATTAAAAAGGATAATAGCAAATCGATTCAATATATTGTTACAAGTATCGTGCAGTTGGACAATGAAGAATTAATCAAGCTTTATCCTTATGGAATGATTACTTACTCGTCGACTTAGGAATTTACCAAAACAATAAACCTAGAACGAAACCACAAACAACAAATGACGGAAAATCATATGAAAATTCAGAAAATTTTTTTAAGCAACGTAGCATAATTAAAAATGGTATAACTCCTAAGAATCTACACTATTTCATCAGTATCAAGAAATTCCTCCTCCTTTTCCTTTCAAGTCTTTCATCTCTTTTTCATGTTCAATGAACAACAATTCTCAGAGATTTAAAATAAAAATAAAAAAAACAATTTTCCATTTCTCTTGTTTCTGCATGGTCATGTGCACCCTTCGTCAAGCGCTTGTACGAGATGTGAGTGAAACGGTTATTTTGTTATATTTTGCATTGAGCAAAACTTGATTATTTACTTATTGTTGTGAATTAAGGTTTCCTCCATTTCGTTGGAAGCATGATCAAAAAAAAAATTTTTTTTTTTGGAATAATTTTAACTTTTTTTTAATGAAATTTGAACAAATGCTTTTCTTTCTGAAAACGCATTCACCCGGCATTTCGTACTGGCTTTTTGACATCGATCAGAATAAATAAATATGCCTGATTCATAATATTGCCTTTAAATATAAGTACGTTCAGTTTTTTTTCTCTTTAATTTTCTTCTTCTTTTTTTTTTTTTTTTTTTTTTTTTTTTGTTAGTTAAAAATACTTATTAAATGTGTCATCTGATTTGCTTTATTTTTCTGTCAATTTTTATTATGATTCCCTTAAAAAATAATCTAAAAATTATGTAAATGTAACACCAACTAATGATGAAAACACATTTTGTTACAATTATTATTAAATTAATAGTTTATAGTTAACTTAGTAAACTTTTTCTTTTCTTCAATTTTTTTTTTTTTTCTTGCAAACTTTATATTATGATCTGGATTTAAATACATTAACGTACTAAATACGTAAAAAAAAAACATTAAGAAAGCAAGAATACAGAAATCCAGGAGAAATAAAATTTATGTAAATAAGTAAACAAAAAAAAAAGTATTTATTTTTCATCAACTTTTGCACGATTTGAAGGTAAAATGTGTTAATGCAATAATATAATTGAGCTTACTTTTCTTTTTTTTTTTGCAAAGGCAAAGCAATCCAATTCCTTATTGCCGTCGCGTTTATTGTGGCGGTAAAATTCCATAAAAGCAGTACGAGATTTTTAGTTTCCCGTGAAACGCGAATCAGTCTATAGAAAATATGTCATAATTGGAAATAAATAAAAATGACTTTTGACTGTATCTTGGAAGAAGCCGATTTTCATCGATTATTGGACAGGGGATTGAACTAAGAAGTTCCATTTTTAAAATGTTATAACGTTCATGGTTTTTTTTCCAAATTGTCGCCATAATTCATATTTGTGTGTAGCATTGTTTGGCATCATTACGGAATAATATACAGTTATACAGCGCATAGCAACTGCTTGCTTAAATTTATTAGGGAATTAATGAACGTACTTAGGCTATATTTCGCGCGTTAATAAGCGTATTTATGGTCAGCACCATCAGAAATGCAAGACATACTGCTTAAAATAAACATCGAGGGTAGAACGAAGAGTTTGGATGAGTCACCAAATTGTAATTGCGCTCAATGGAGAAAGTGACAAAAACATAATTTCTAATTTTATTAGCATGGATTGATGAGATGATTTCAACTTGGGCGAAATGTGCTTTCAATAAGATAATTGAACATGTCATAAACTTCGTGAAACGATTAATTTATTGCACGAGAACCTCATTGACAATGTAATCAATAAACATGCCTATGTGAACTTGCCATCAAGATCAGCCGATGGACCGATCTTTTTGGAATTATTTTATTCCGATCAGACGTAAACTTTTAATGACTATTTTTAAAGATTATACCCATTATTGATAAACAAAATAAGAGCGATAAGTTGTGTGAACAAGTGACTACAAATTGTTGGTTCAAAATCAAATATTTAGAGAATTCTAGACGCGATTTATTTATTTATATGGAATCATTTTTAAATAGAAATAACAAAAATTAATATTAAACATAACAAAAAATCATGTTTGATATCTTTGAAAATTTTCTTTTATTACTTTATTTATTTTTTTAATTATTTATTTATTTATTTATTTATTGACGCTTATTTAGCATCGAAGCCATTAAGGTGCATCAATAAAGTAAAATAATTCAAAATATTCTTAAAATAATATAAAGGAAAAGAGAGGAAAACCGAAGGTGAAGAGAACTAAAAAAGGAAGTAACACATACCACAACCACGTCTCCATACCAAAACTAAATGACCAGCTAATAATCATTATTAGCGGCGAAAGTTAAAAGTCTACATTTTTAAATGAGATAAGAGCATTTAAATAACCGTAACTCCCCAGGCAGGCAATAATAAGCTCTTACAATTGTTACCCGAAAGGATCGGGCCGAAGAACACGTAACTTGAGAAATCAACAAAAAGTTCTTGCGAACTAGATAAGACTAAAAGCTAAGAAATTTTAAATCTCCTTCGGCTCCCAACTTAGGATAATGTTGTGGAGGTTAAGCAGAAGTCTAATTTTAATAAAATTAACGAAAGAACAACCTAGAACCCGTAGAAAATAACGATAGATATGCTCATACCGCATAAATTATATGTGACATAATTAAAGCCTTAACCACTCTAATTTTAATTTGAATGGACATATAGACATTCAAAGAATAAAGCCTTCTAAGTAGAAGATTCATCCGAGAGCCCAGGGAATTTATATGTGCATCAAATTATGACTTATTATTGATAATCACGCCCAGGCATTTCAAACTGTTTACAATTTCAACATTGGCATCACCTTCCCTTAAAGTTTAAAGATGCAGATGTAGATTAGGGGGTCGATAGATTATAGTAAATGTTTTAGCCCAATTCACCTTAAGTTCATACAGCTCTTCCCGACGGGAAATACCGTCCAAATGGTAATCAATGTTAACTTGCTATCCTTCCAAAGTATCATCATTTTCTGTAAATAAAATCTGCAAATCCACGCCAAATACGTAAGTGTCGCACGAAGCTAGTTTAAACATATTAAAGAAATCATTCATATACACGGTGAAGAGCAAAGAGACAAGAGAGGCCTCGAGGACAACATTTCGCATTTTTGACGCCACCCACAAACACAAATTGTAAACGGGAAGCGGGATGCTATTAGGACAGCAGCTGACTCCGAAAAGTCAAAGTCCCGCACGAGTTTATGAATCAGCGGTTTAGGCGACACCCTTAGTTAGGCCCAGCGACAATAACATCGAAATATGCTTATCGCTTACTATATGTCCTGTTGAATCCACATTAGTTAGTAACAAAGAAGTAGTGCTACAACGTTTTCCTAACCATGCTGAGACTCAGAGAGTAGGGAATTATTGTCAAGGTGTTTGATAATTTGTTCTTTAATTATATGTTCAAAGACTTTCGAGAGAATAAGAACGATTGAAATTGGCCGGCGATTCGGAGACGAACACATCTTAGATCCTTCTCAGATTTAGTAAGAATGTGGTTAATAACACAAAAAAAAAAAATATGAGCATCAATCTTGGCGCATTAGCCTTAATTTTGTCAAATGCCGTTAAAAGTTCTAACATCTTTGTCGCACGAAATGAGAACAGCCCGTAACAGTCATTTAAGTCCAGCCAATTTTTACCAGCGTTTAAATAATTGTTGAGAAAATGATGATCGATGGCATTCATCTCAGCAGCACCCACATTTAAATCTTCAACATCGTTGAACACAAATTGGCGTAATTTACGTCACAGATGTTTATTGTTTGAAACTCTGAAAGTTAGCAAGTGCGCGTTACGCGTGCCTTTTCTAATGACATACTTGACTCTAGTCCTTTGTACGTATAGGTCCTTCAATTATCAGCATTCTTCTCACGTAAATACGCCCAGCAAGCTTGATTAAGCAGAGAAACATGAAATTTGATTTCACTACGGTTAAATCAATGCTTGCAGTTGACGGCAGTCTCGCGTGTAACTTTGAATATAATCTCATGAATTAGGTCCAAGTTAACATTCAATATGTTGATCTGATTATCCACGTCCGAAGTATTGTATATACCATTAAAGTCACATGCTTCAATTCTGGATCTTAGTGCCTAAGTATCTCGGGAGGTTATAATTGTAAAATGCCAGAGATACATCCACCTTACGCAAGCGCGTGTTTAAAGCGAGAGATATCTGCCGAACGAAATTGCCCAAAAATAATAGCTTCATATTAGCTATTAAAGAATAATCAAGAACGAAAGTAGAATAGGATTCAATAAATTGCAATTGAAGTCACTCATTATAACAGTACCAGCGTATTTGATTAAAATGTCACTCATCGCTCATTTAAGGGAGTAGACATCGCCACGCGCCACGTAAACAAAGCCAATCAGTCAAGCCCGATGTCTCTAACAAATAAGTTTTCCATCACCTCATTAGTCGACTGCACATGCAGGACGGAAAACCTGAGTCTATTTGAAATGTATAAAGCTACATCCCCACCTCTCCCCGTTGTTTTGTAATTGCGGCACAAATTATATTTCGGGATTTTAACCGAATTTGAAGAAACGTGGCCTATTCCACCAAGTCTCACTAAAACTAACCATCGTCCAATCTCTACCACGAATGAGATTAGTAATCTCGTCAATTTTCATATAACCTAAACATTGAGAATTCTGATGGCCAGATCTTACAGATGTCGCCAGTGCTATTTAGCAGGAAACGGAACGCGGTATCGTTGTTTAGGATTTAGGATTATTTAGCATTATAATAATAAAAGACAGGATGTTAGCGAGAAATTAGAGATTCTTAAAAAACAAAAGAACTCCAAATATATAAAATAGCTTATTTTTAAACCCTATAGAGTTTCAATGATAAACCTTATCGAGCAGGAGCAACACTAGCAAAGTTAGAAGGATCCGGTTGCGCCAGGAAAATTGTAAAATAGAAGAAATTGTTATTCTTTTTAATGGTTTCCTGATTGTTTCCGATTCTTCTTCCTTGACTGGTTCGCTTTTGCTCTTCTATCATCTCCTCTAGATGTATATATAGTGTTTTAGAAAATACGCGAACTAAACTTATTTAATTTTACAAGTTATCCGCCTGAGTGTCTTCAAATCTCAAGTGCGCTTTAAAGAAAAGAATTTATTCTCTGGTTAAATCTATTTAATGTGTATGTGTAAGATATAATCTAACTATCGATTCTTTCTTCCCACAAAAGATTGGATGTGACCAGCGTAAGGTTGTCGCAGAAAGGAAATTAATATATTAATATATTCGATAATTAATATAAAAAAACATTGCTAAGCGTAACGAATTTATAAATATTGTTAAAAAAAGATATTTAAGATTCATGAAAAATTAAGAAAGAAATACTTCGCCAACGACTCGTTATGATCTTTCAATTTCTCGAACCTAGTTACATTTTGGTCGTTACATTATATAAAGCATCTATCACGTAGCACACTTACTTCGAATCACGAGAATCTATAAATTTTTGATTTTTATCTCCTAACATCACTAAGGGTTTTTGTATTTCTTCTATCGATGGTACATTTTGATTTTGTCCCTTTTTATTTAATATCCAATTGCAATGAGCGGTATGCACAACTGCAACCATGATTTATTCCAAGCGCCACCAAACCAAATGACTACGAAACATTTTCAAAGCACAGAGTCGCTTATAATAAACAAAAAAAATTGCCAAAAATTCTTGAGTGCCCAACTAACAACTTCAATTGCCAGATCGTTTAATTTGCAAAACCGCCAGCTTTATGACTCACGCCATCTGTTAAAAGAGCTTTATAACTCACGAAATCTGTTAAAATTCATTGCAAAATGCAAATTGCCGTCGGCATTGCAAAATGAAAAAAGACTAGTAGGAGGTTTTCCAGAACCATTGCAACCATTGTGATATATATAACCAATAGGCCGCGTAAATGTACAAAAAAAAAGAAAATTTATTTGTTTAACTTCATTTTTTTTTTAAAGACTGAATTTCAACCGTGATAATTTTTAAACAAAGTCCTCGCTAAATTCCCTGTTGAAAGGCAAAGCGCAGAGTCGCTAAATTCCCTGATGAAAGGCAAAGCACAGAGTCGCTTATAATAAATAAATGGTTAAAAGCCCAACTTAACAGCTTAAACGGTAAATGGTTAAATGCCCAACTTAACCAACAAAGGGATTCGATTCTGTTAGATGACAGACCAAACGTATTTTAGGGCGCCATACATCAAAATCATACATTTAAGAAATTAAATCGCGATAATTATGTAAAGAATGCAAATCATGAATTTAATCACAAAACAAGTAGGAAGTTGCATTGAAAAGGAATTCAAATTTTATTCAATTTCAAATCAAATACGTATGTATCTATTTTAATTTAAATTCAATTTGAATTCAATTACAATTCAGTGCAAATTTAAGTTTAAAATCAATTCAAAAGAATTCAGAGCAAATAATAATGTCAATTTATTTCAATTTAAAATTAAATTTATTTCCTTCTAATCTAATACGATAATCGAGCCAAAAAAATATATTAATAAATGCCCAGAGAAATTATCCGGTTTGCTGGTGGATGTGCAATTTAATTCACTGTATCTGCAAAACGAACCCAACAATCACACAATCACAAATGAAAATTTAAACCAATCGAGGGAAGTCGAGCATTGAGGCTCGTGTTAGAAAAAAATGAAAGTAAATCGTGCACACATACAAAAAGGATAGTTGAGCAGAGGCATACATGTACACTCATTTTTTTTGAATTTTCTATAAATTAAAACACAAGTCTTCTTTCTTCTCAAGTTATTGGCGAAAATCTTATGGAATTTTGAATCTTTCCAATTCGAAGCTTATATTTAAGACTTCAAATTTTGAATTTGAGATGGGCTGGTAAAACTTTGAATTCATCAGTCACCTTAACTGAATTTATATTACTTTTATATGTTATTAATCTAAAACTTTTTATACTTTATTAATCTATACTTTATTAATTTAAAATCGAAAAATCAACAAATAAAAGTTTTCAATATATTCAGGCACCCGTGTCTTATTAGGGTCTCATGTATATATAAGAACTCCAACATACAACGTTCCCGGTTGATGAAAAAAAGACACGAAATAAAAGAGCCATTTTTCCTTTGTATATACAGACCAAGAGATTCATGTGTTTTAATATTTATTAACTTTGCTAATAAAAGGATTTCTACCTTAAATCGATTTAAAAAATTGAATTTTATCTTCATTCTTTTTTCCTTAAGGTGCATTTCTATTCCCTATTCATATTTTACTCAAGTCGTCCTTCTTCTGTCTTCAATATTTGTAGTTAGGAAAATCTGTGTTTTTGAACGAAGTAATAATTAAATAAATGAAAAAATGAACGAATATTTATATTTACCAATCTAATCTTAAAATTAAAGTTTTACTTTTAAGATTTCGTTATTATGTCTTTGGTTGATATATTTATAATATAATCGATAACGACCACTTGTTTTATATAGAATTAATTGAATGATTTATAACTTACACAATCTTTGTAAACGGTACTCAGATTTTACCTTACAAAAAAAAAACTGTATTAGTATCTTTTTAGCGAATTTTATCTTTTTTATGATATAAAGCCGAGTTTCTTGATACTACTTTCACTTAAATTTTTTTCTCTTTAAATTAAGGAAATCATACGATTTGCGAAAATACTTTTGCTCAGACATTTTGTTTCTAAGAAACAAAGCGGGCTCAATGATACTGCTCCAATCGATTTATAGCACCAGTAAATAACGGTATGCAAATTCACCAAATTGAAGATTCTTTGACCAGTAGAAATTTTTGTAGCCTACACCACTCATAATATATATAAGTATATATATTATTCAACGCCCAGGAGGGCTTGAGATAAACCCATTTTTTATTACACTGATCATTTCAGAAGTATTTTGTGGATCGATTTAGGCTTGCCTGTTTGTATCTGCTTTGTACCTTTGTGTTCAACCGACAGGCAGGGACTTTTAGGTATTTTAATCAAATTTGGTACGGCCCACTGTAGTGTTTTCGCTTGTTAAAATTTAAAATTGAAACCAAACCCAAACTCTTATATTGTTTCATTCCTGTCTCGTTTCATAGAATTTTGATATTATAATTTGTTGTTAACTTGGTGGCGAAGCAGAAATGTTTTCTCTTATTGTTCGGTAGTTACATTTACGTTATTGTCATTCTTTGCAAGCAAAAGTGTGATTAAAAAGTTTTAGCAAAATGTTTTTGCGATCATCGCTTAGAAGAATCCAACATTTGACTCAACGTCATATAACAACAACAGTTGTCGCTAGTGAAATGCCAGACTCCCTACGATCAACTTTGGTATCGAATGATTACCGTACAGTCGAATGTAATATTGCAGCGCAAAGTAAACTGCACGAGGGGAAATTCTATACTATACCGTCAGATGTAAAGAAACAACTTTTTAGTGGTGGTGGATTTCCTAAACAATTCGAAAATCAACTCAAAACGTTTACCGAAACTTGTTTAATGATCCGTCAACCTGCTTTAGAACTGATTCAATATATACATAACACAGACTTTAGCAAGCCGACTACGCGTTATGTGATATATGGGGAGAATGGTGTGGGAAAATCACTTGCGTTGGCACACGTGCTACATTACGGCTATCAGAACGATTTTGTCTTAGTTCATGTTCCTTGGGTACCCAATTGGATGAAACGTCCTAAAGAAATAGCTAATGCTTCACAAGAGGGTTTTATTGATTTGCCATTCGACGCGGCTGCCTGGTTGCTACACTTCAAAAATCACAACTCTAAATTACTGGGAAAGCTTGATTTAAAAACTTCCAAAGATTATATTTGGTCTAAACGTGAATCAACTCCTGCTGGTAGTACACTTTTGGAATTGGTGGAGCATGGAATTGCGCGTATAAAATTTGCGTCTGGCACCATAACGAATCTTTTGGCGGAATTGAAACTACACGCTACCGCTAGCCGTTGCAAGGTTATGGTGGCCATTGATGGCTACAACGCCTTTTTCCATCCGGAAACTAGAATTCTGACTGACAATAAACAAAGTGTTAGCCCTGATCGGATAACTTTAACTCAACCTTTTTTAAATATCACAAAGTATGATTGGATTAATGGCGTTTGCGTGTTGGTGATAGATAAAATTGGCATGACCGAAGGGTTTATGGAATCATACATGCCACGATATTTATTGGGTCGTACAGGTTTTGAGCACCTTGATCCTTTTGTGCCCGTTCGTATACAAAACTATAATGATAAAGAGTTTCATAGTTGTATACAATACTACTTGGATCGCCATTGGATACAAAAAACGCCAGATGGTTTTGAGGAGCAGCTAAAACATATGAGTAATAAGAATCCGTATTGTTTAATGCAATTAACAAGATCTTTGTAATAAAATAATAATCAGAAACCATCATGAAAGTACTTCCATTTTCGTTTTTATTAATTACATGTGTTATTAAACAAATTTCGCAATAGAAAGTTAATAAATTTACAAGAGGAATATAATTAATAATGAACCATTCGGAAGAAATTTAAAGAAAAATTAATGGAATTCGCGGAAATACTAGTTTATATCCTCTTCGCAATAAATGCTTCATTAATTTATGAAAATGGCATTCACTACTTCGCGTAAAATACTAATTTTAAGAGAGACATCAAAAGTGGTTTGTTGGGGACAGCGTGGATAGTTCCGCCTAGTTTACGCTAACCCTCCTTGTCATTTAACTAATCTTTTCTTCCGTCATGCAGGTGAAATTTTAATTATTTTCATGCTACGAGAATCCAATTTGTGTTCAAGCGCGTAACGATGATTATTTTCCTGATTTTTTTTCGATAATTTGTCCCTCATTCTCATGGCTTTATTCAATTGTTGTGTCAACCTGTTCCTGAATGGAGATGAATGCTAGATTAAAATAGATTGCTTTGACTAACGCGGATAAAGAGAACTTCATTTTAATATTGCAAAACTTTCTGTATTTGGTGTTCTATTTTTTTAACAATTAATGGGTCTTCGTGGCGTACCTTCGAGTAAAATTTCTTTATATTACTTAATTATTTTAACGTTTACTTACAACATAAAAAATGAGTAAACTCTTCATTTGATGGATACTAAAAATAAATTAATTCTATTTCACTTATTTGTGGTACATATTAACTTTTTAGCAAGTTCCTGTTAAAAAACCAAATGAGCATAGTCGAGATTTAATAAGTGTAAACAAAATAGATCTCTAGGTCCAAAAATATTAAAATTAAAGCAAGCAGGAGACTCGTAGACAGTAAAGATGAATTTTGTATATCCTTGAACGTATCCTTGAAACGTGGAAAAAATGTTCGCATTTAGTTTATTCAGACCAACAAAAGCCCAACTACTGATAATATTGGCGAATATATTTGTTAATTGCAGAGATTTGCCTTATATTAAACCGGAAATATATCATGACAGACACTAGACTTGAAATCTGATGGGGCGAAAAAGTCGAGGCCAATCTATAAACTCATGCCCATAGTGAAACATACCGGTAGCGCTAACAGCTATTAAGGCACCCGAGAAAAGCATGAACAGCAAATTTTCAGTTTTAAAATTTGGTGGCATTAAAGCTGTTATGTACAACATAGCTACGGCGAACACCAGTATGGATGGAAACTGTTAAATGCAAAAAAAGTATAAAAACCGGAATGTTTTACCTAATATTAAACTTACGGCGTTATAACGCCACGAACGTTTCACTTCCAAAGGAGCGCATAAGGGGTCTGTAACTACATAACGACCCAGGAACAAATCAATGCCATCCTGAAGATAATTTAATCCATATAAATATTTCGATTTTAAATGTTTTCACAATGCTTTTACCTGCCTAAAACCATCAGTAAAATTATTTATGTAATAACGGGTAAGAGCATTAACACCATCCTGCAATAGCCCTCTTTTGGTTCGTTTACCGGTACGTGTAAAATCCGTTTTTAAAGCTCCTGTGCCGGAATATTGCATTGAGATCATATCAGCATTATCGGCCCAAACCGCTTTGAATATCAATTCAAAATTTGGCGATGCTGTTTCAATTTTTTGACTTGGATGTAAAATGCCTAGTTTTTCAAGGGTTTTCTGCAAAGAGCGTTTAGCCAACATACTCTGCACCACATTAGTACGGTCCAGACAATCAATGCAATTTGTACGGAAGACACCCTTTTGAGTAGAAATCGCTTTATGACTGTTAACTATATGAAATTCAGAGAACTGGTCTTGTTCATGTGCTAAACGATCAATTAGTATTGTTAAACGATCATAGCGTATTTTTTTGCACTCGGCGTGAAAATCGAATGCCTCATAACGTAGTTTAGAGTTTTTGAGCAACTGAAGCAAATTGCGAAAGAACGATTCCAATTCACCTTCAGAACCGCTTTGATTAACCTGTAATTTGTAAGATATCGTAAAGTATTAGATATATTAATGGATACACAATTTTTTACCAAATTAACCAGAACTTGCTGACCATACAAAGCAATCTGTTCTTCAAAGTGTCGCTTACAAGCTAATAAATGGTCCTTTCCATTTATCTTATGTGGCCGGGGTTTATAACGTAAATTTGGTAATTGACTCCAGTAGAACGGCATGCTGCCCCGTGTCTGTAAAATTAGTAGCTATATTAAAGTCGCAACTACATTAAGCTACGCTTTACCTGCACGAATGACACGCACTGGCCATTGTATTCTACAATTTGTTCAGTTTCTACAAAATTGGCTACTTGACCATCGTCGTTGATGCCTCGACTAAAGAACCGTGTGCCTGCTTTATGAACAGAACGTCTGGATATTATAGACCAGAAGAATGTTTGGCCATTAATTTGAACTTGATTTACCGAAACAACTACAATATGCATTAATATAATTAGTAGGAGAAATGTCAATATAATTAGCTAAAAAATTATTCTTACATCCTAATATTAGAGGCAATTGAAATTTGTTCATATCTGAACATTTGAAATTGCTTAGTAACGACTTATTCCATACGAAACGATCATCAATGCCTTCCATTAAACTTTTTTGCTAAAAATGTTTATTATTAAAAAGACTTGGTTTCATTAAAAAATTTTACGTACTTGTTTTATTTTCGCTGACAGATGATGTGCACGCTGCTGACTGTGCGTTAAGTTGTAAGCGTAAGAGAAATAAAAATGCGGTGTATCCATTGTCTTACGAAGCATTTTTAAAAGAACTTCGTTATTCTTCAATTGATGGGCATTTAGGCAAGCGTTAGGAATGTATGGTATTATATCATAGCCAGCTAAGCGCCAAATCACAGCATCATTTATCATGCCAACATACAAGCGGTGCGTGGCTACCAGCAAATAGTTTGAACCAATTAATGAAATAGTGCCCAAAATGCCACATACCCGGCGTGTGGGCATTCGGTGATTGAGTTGACTTGTTTTTACTGAAATTTTATTCAAATGTATAGGAAGGTAGTTAATTAGGTAAAGAGTTATTACTGTATGTACACTAGCTTTGCAACAAACCTACTATATACAATAAGAATTGAATGATAGTTGAGCTCGTAACAAATTTATAAATTACTTTTCGTGCTTGCTACTCTTTTCAAGTTTTAACTTACACTGAACTTTTGCTTCGCTGCAATTCCGATCGATTATTAAGAGTTCTTCTTTACCATTTGGTTCCACTATAAAACATTCTGGTGTTATATATCTTGAATAAGAAAGAATATTAGAACTTATAACAATAACAAAAATCAATAAATTGACCAGAGTGTACTTCTTTGTGTGTCAAGTGCAATAATATATTGTCGTTTAAAATGGTCGTTTTGTTTGCATACTATACAAACGAAGGTCTCATTTGATTAAGATTTGTATGTGTGCCACTTTATATGGTAACATCAACACACTCATGTATGTACGATTTAAAGGTAACTTACAAGTTCATGTCATCATAACATAAGTCCCAATTCGATATTGCCTTCATTATGAAGAAACCACTTTTGCGTTTTTGAATAATTGGAAATAAGGAAAAAAAATACAGTAATTTTAAATAAATTGATCACTTTTTTTTACAAATAAAATTTTAGGCGCTATTTTTTCGTTCTCATTAAGTGACAAATCAATCTTGTGGACTTTGTTAAGATGGATTACTTTCTTTCTTGTTTTATGATTTTTTACACATTTTTTTATAATTTTTAAATTAGGTTAGCATGCTAATAATAATTAGAAAAAGTTATTCAAAAACCACCATATGATGAATGAATTTTGACTTGCAGAAGCAAAATAGAGCTATGACGTGTGACAGATAAACCGTTATAGCATTGCCATTAGAAAAAGTTTTATGTTATTTTAATTGCGAATTAATAATATAATTGCTAGGGTTACCGAGATTTTTTGTTTTTTAAAAAACAAGATTACCGTGCTTTCCGTTCCGGTCCCTACACGTATTATTGCGTATATTTGGATTTGTACAATAACTACCAGGGTTGTTTGTTGTATAATTTTGGTTAATTTTGGAAGAATTTTACCTCACAAAGAATAGCGTTAGACAGATATTAATTTTACGAAGTTTTTGATAGAACTATATTCGCAGTATTTTTAAATGTCATTTAAAAAAAGAATATGTTATATATCAAACAATTCGTACAATTTCTTCTTTCTCAACGTGGAACTATTTTCCATAATAGCAGACATAGTTGGATTGAAAATTACAATTTCTTCCCATTTAATTTTTGTACTTCTGGTTAGTTTGCGTCCATAAGATTTCTATTCAAAAACATTATATATTATAAGATGTGACATTTCGTTAATACGATCCTAGCAAAAAAATATTGCGTGGCGGATCAAGATGACAAAATATTGAAGGATAATCCGGCCGATAGTTGGTTTTGTTGCGATCACATAAGACTTTTGTATTATTTTCGTCGCTGTCTTTCATATGTAAACGAAAAGACCGAAGAAGGAAGCATAATGATGTTTGTATTTATTTGTCAAAATTCAAAAAATAACGACTGGTCTTTTTCCTTGATAAATTAAAAAACAAACGCATTAAAGATTTTCAAATTTGTTGAGAAGGGAAAGGAGTACTTCCTGATATAAAAATCGATAAAAGGATGAGTAAACACATTAAGGGAACTAGGTAAGGTAGTTTTTTAGTACATTTTTTAAATTAACGAAGATAACACTTGCATTATTTGTAAAAATAATAGATCTACCCGTTGTCGTGTTAGCATGCGTCCATTTTGACGCCGCAATGATAATAAGTATTCTCCTAACAAACTATGTTAATTGATTATTTATGTTCCAATGGCCACGTTTTAAAATGTACAAAATGTACAAATGTGAAAATCTAACGATTACAATTAAGAGAAAGATTTAATCTAACGGGCAGAAAAGGCATTAAGATTGTTGATAATGATTTGTGGCGTCTTCCTATGGCTTAAACCGTTTTTTGTTCTAGTTCTATAAGAAAAATTATTAACCTTTGCTTAAGTTGCGGTTGTTATTAGCGTAACTAATTATGGCGGAAATAACCGATAAACACATAATAAATGTGCATTAAAACATAACAAATTTATTAATATCATTGTCATTATTTAGTGAAGGTGAACAATGTTATATAATAGAAACATATAATCATTATATTTAATGAGTCGCCGCCTCAGTTCGTAATTATAAAAATTTCCTTAAGATATAGGTTTGTAGGAATTATTAATTTTTAATTTAAAGTTGTTGGCAGCCATGTAGAAAGTATTTGGAGAATGAAAAAGTTGGCAAACTTAAGTTTATTAGTAAAAGATGTTAAACGAAAAATTGGAGTTTTCTTTAAATAAGTAATTTGCGGCTGGTGGCGGAATGTGTTAATATTTGCGAGCGTTTGTTGCGTCGATATTCTTGACTAATAGCAAATGACCGCACCACAAGTTATAAAGTGATCTAGAAGCAAATCGATAATGAAGGACGTTTTCAGGGGAATATCTAAAAATTATTAGGTGAGAAAGCGCAATTGTTGCAGAGAAAATCGAGGACGATAAATCGTTCAACGCCAAGGTAAGGAAACTGCACTGAAAAAGGTCGATTTCTGCTGGCAAATCCCAAGTGATTTCGAGGATGGTCATGAGAAACTTATGAATCTTTTTTGTGTTTTTTCTTTAATTTGATCTAAAAGAAGATCATTTTAATACGTAATGTTGGCAAATTTTGAATCTTGTAATTTTTTATATTTTTATATGTGTCAATTGTACATTTGATATGTGCATATACTGTGAGAAGCCAAAGCCTCACTGGTCACTCCGGCCCTGTTATGCTCTGTTTGCCTTTTGAGGAACGGAGCGACAAGCTTTGACTAAAGGACCATTTCTGAACTTACCAAAGCGATTAACATTTTAAGGGACCACTCTCAGGAAACTCTGTGAAAGAATGTTAAGCTGCACTTAGAATCGCAAAACCGTGTCAGTGAATCTTAATCCGGCTTCAGACGCTGTAAATCCGCTCATGACAACATCATTACTTTTGGGCCGCTTTCAATCTAATTTTTGCTAAAGGTCAAACCCCTATAGGTTGTTTTCTAGACAATTCAGCAGCTTTTGACTTAGTCAACATCATCGCTCTAAGATCCACACTACTCTCTTTACATCCACCCACAAGATTCTACAGCCTATCAACTCTTTCATTACAAAAACAAATGACGACGACAACGTTACCACAACCTGGATGTCCTACACGTGCTCCGTATTAAGTCCAATATGATGCAACATTTACATTAAAGATGTATTTTACCTGAAAATGTTTTGTTATTGGGATAAGCAGATGACCTTGTTATTTCCCGCTCACATTCTGATCTGGTCAGGCAAACCGTACATTCCGCTTTAGAAGTAATTAATACCAACCAAGAGTCCCTACAGTTCTCGTCGTTCACTCGCAAGACGAACTACATACCTTTATCTCACAAGCGCAAACAACTTATCACTGCACCGCTTCATATCAATGACTCTCATATACTATACGTCAATTCTTTGGGCTTTTTACACAAAAGACTTTCCCTTGTGCCTCATATTAACACGGTCGTCAAAGAATGGTTCCAACTAATGAACGTATTTTTTATTTATTTATTTTATTTACTTACACATGAAATTCAACTAAAACAAATTAACAGTCGAATTCAATTGACTCTTAGATGTAAATCTTGTATTAATTAATATTAAAAAGTAGTATAGACTATACAGGGAGAAGTAAAAAAAAAAAGAAATTATAATAATAATTAAATAATAATTCATGTATAAATAAATAAGAAGAAAAACAAAAAAGCATGTATACAACTAGCGCAGAGTCACACCCACAACTACAGAAGCACAAGTACAGAAGCAAATTGCAAGTAAAACCTTAAGCCATCCCAAACATGCAAAAGCTTGGCAACTGACACAGTAATCAACACCAATTAGTTTTCGAATCATAGTGAGATATTAGGATTAAAAACTATTTCAAATAAGATAGAGGAAAATCGCGTGTATTAAGCAAAGTGGGCTTGATAAACTTTAAAGAATGCGATATTGAAATTAAGTGATAGCCATCATTTAGATTTCTGCAAACAACTCTGAACGGGTTAAACAGCTCATAACTTACATTGACGCAGCTTAATGAACATAAAGTACCTAGGGAAGCGATTAGGCACATTAAAGGTTATCTCACCAAATAATGTGGACGAATCGATAGTACCATTAATTAAGAAGGAGATAACAAGAATAAATCTACGTTTCCCAATTGACGTTAAGGATAACAGAAGCAACCTATTTTTATAAGGAGGCAAAGAGACAAGCGGGTCCAATCCAATTTCCTAAGAGCACCAAAACTGCTTTTGAACCGATTTAATTGAATTTACGTAACACCTGTAGGAGGGAGACCACATAATCGAGGCATTCTCAAGTATTGGTTTAACTAAGCAAATGTATAGCTTCTTTGTAATGTAATGATCCTCCAGCACTTTGGATTACCTCTTAATGAAACTAAGCGCGAACCTAGCTTTACTCAAAGAGAGCTCAATGTGCAAATTAAAACGTAGTATTTCGTCGAATAGAATCCTTAAATCGATGAACGAATCAACGTTTTCCAAGTTGTGTGAGTCAATGAAGTACTCAGTGGTGAATTACTTCCATCTTAAAAAAGAAAGCTTCTTGCATTCTTTTAATTTCATAAAATCAACGAGCACCATTTAAGAAAATTATTTATGTCAAAATAAAACTGATTCCAAGGAGAAGTAAGAAAACAGTTTAACATCATCAGCGGAAATTAAGATTGGCTGGATTTAAGCACCGAGGGGAGACCATTAAATTATAAGTTAAATAAAAGGGGTCCTAAATGGCTGTCTTGAGGGACCGCAGACGTCATGGCCAATTCATTCGAAGTGATGAAGTTAAACGGAACCCTGAATAAACCCTGCAAAGGGTTTGCTAAAATCTGTGTATATGGCATCCGTGCGAAAGCCAATAGGAAAAGCCTTGAAAGCATGGCAAGTAAACTCTAAGAGATTTGTGACAGTAGATCTTGCTTTCAGAAAGCCATGCTGGAATGGAGAAATAGAAGTTTGGAAAGCAAAAACTAGATACTTGATAACAATTTGCTCAAACAATTTAGGTAAGACACTCAACTTGGCCATGCCTCTATACGTGATCTCTATTTACAGATTTGTGAATTGGAATAAGGAAACGACTCTTTCAACCCAAAGAGAAAGCACCTGATTTCAAGGACTGATTAAAAATCATTGCAAAAACACCACATAGAGGAAGTTGGATTTGGCGAGTTAGAGTAGTTCAGCAGACCATCATGCCTGTAATAAAAGGAAATACAAATTGGTAGATGATACGGATCCTTAGATAAACTAAAAGGTGGACCGTGACTTACAGCTATTTCCGGGAAGTTGGCAAAGCAAAGATCTAACAGTTTGCCATTACAATTAGGAGTATGGATGCATTGAAATAAATTAAAATCAAATAATTCATTGAAGAACGCAATAGCTCCATCAAATATTGAAGTGGGGGCCATACAGTCAGAATTATAACTATAACACCAAGTGACTTGTGGCAAATTGAATCCCACAACGCTATGACTATATAAGTAGATTTAGGCTTTTTGGCCACGTCACAAATGAAGACAGCATATTTCTTGTAAATAGAGATATCCGAATTTGGCGGGAGAGAAGAGCAGGTTATGTATAATTGTTCACTGCCGTCAAGCAGACGTCATCCCTATTAGAAACAATAGGATTTGCGCGTAGAGAGTTTTCAATTGGTGAAAATATAGAGAGTGACCACCCTTCCACGTGCAGCATGTGCAACTTGCCCAGCATGGTGATCAGCAGACACTGGCGAACAACCAGGGGGAGGGGCGGAATTGGTATTTTCATTAATATTTTTTGAATATATACACAATGTAGCCTGAATGGCACCACTGGGAGGAGATCCATGACTAAAACATTCGCGAAGCCAACGGGTAAAGAATCGTTCAAATTCAGGGCTCGTTTTCATTCGATATGAAAACACACTCCTACGTCAAATAATAACAGACAAGAGATAGAAGAGAGAGATTGCGAAAAAAAGCAAAAAAGTTTGACTCGTACACAAAAATCATCTTTCAAATTATACGTAAACTTCGCACTACCAAAGACACAGTAAATAAAAAGGAACCCAACAGAAAAAACTGTAAACTTATTACGGAGAGCACAACTGCTGATCGTAAAAACCAGAACGAATATCACGAATAACACAACTCAATTAATTAAATTATTTTAAACTTTATAATGAATTATTTTTTAAACGTGTATAAACTTATGAAGCAATAATATAAGAAAAAGAAATTGCAAAATTTTTTCGCACTTAGTAGAACAGCACGACTACAACGGGCGCGCTAAAATCCATATGTGGCATATCCAGGGGCTCTGATTTTCTTTGCATAATAAAATTATAGACCAACTTCATGAGACCGAAATGGGAACCCGTCTTGTTCATTCCTAGTTATTCCTACAGGGAAGAGGACTTTTGAGGCTCTGTAGGGTTCATTCCTTTAATCGCCATGATCTCTATTCACATTCCGTGCTTAAAGCAAATGGTAGACATGGCGACTCTACACTAGAGGTTTATTTACATACCAATGTCGTCATTAATAAGATTTTGTCTTTAGAGAATCAATTGGGTTTACCTTCAATTTACGATCTTTTATCGCCGAGCCCATCTCACTCCCTTTTTAAAATATTGTTTGAAAGCTTGACAGTTTTAATAATGAAAAGTTTTGCAAACACACTTCATTGTTTAATAGAAAATATTCAATTGGCAGCAACGATGCAACGTCTCGGGAGACGACCACCACTTGTTTTCTTTAGCTCCGCAAATAAACCTTAATCCATAGTTTCAGCACTATAATCTTGGTCGTGATCTGTTTCATCAATGTTCAACCACACTAACTGCAACGAACATCTAAACAAAATGAATATAACAGTCAGCCCCTCGCGCACGTGCGGTGCGCCACAATTGCCGGAACATCTGGTTCAGTCCGAATGTCAACATACCTTTCCGCCGATGCATGTCTCGTACACTGTCCCAATATTATCTTAACAATGCCACCATCCTGGAATACTTCACTCTCGTAATCTGGCACCTTACACTAAAATCTTCGCCTTTTTTCCAACCATGCAAACTAAATATATAAACTAAAATGTCAACTCACAAAATAATAGCAACAACATAAAGAAAACAAAGCCACATATATGACAATAAAATGAACAAAAAATAATAAATCAACGAGAGAATATGGAAAATGATATGTTACAAGACACAAAAACAACAAAACATCAAAAGATTAGAGAGAAAAAAACAAAGAAAACGTAGCGGGTTCTTGGTTTGAACGTTAATAAATTTGGCACTCACCTGTTGTTGATTCGCTGAATACTTAAGAAAAAAAAGAGTCAATCAATAACAAGATTATGCAAACGTAAATAAAAACAAAATGAAGCTAAAGTTTTTCATAAAATGAAATGATATAAAAAAGTATATAAAAAATGGGACGAAGACGAAAAGTAAGTTTACAGAAATTATGCCAATATTTTGTTTGCATTCATTTTACTTTTACCTCTGGTTTTTAGTTTTGCGCAGATCACAAATACAAGATCAAAAAAAAAAAAAAAAAATGAGTGCTAACACATTGTCCCTACACAAAACCGGAGGATAGACACTTGTTTTAGTTCTGACTTTCGACGAAGAGAGAATTGCCGAACTGACGAATTTACCAACAAAAAGTTTTGCAAACGTGGTGTTGCCGCCAATAAGTGGAAGACAGCCGTGAGTATAATTATAATTTAAAATTTTGGGTTTATTTTGTAATTGTTTTTTATAAATGTTTAGAAGCCCTCACGTGATAGTTAGCGCAGCCGAGAATGACATTCCAAGCAAGAAACGAAAATAAGAAATAACCTTTGTGGCGCCGCCACTGTCAAACAATCAGTAATTGACGACGAATTCGCAGGATTAAATTATGGAGGGGAGCGCTCAAAAGCCACATCGCAGTGGGAGTATTATTTAAACTTCGTAGAAAATGCCTTTAAATCCTTGGTCATTTCAGTAAATCCCATCTTCTGTATGAACAATACCTAAAACTCTATATTTTTCTGTCGGCATTTAGTACGTGAACAGCGGCCTTTGGCCGAATAAGACAGAGCATTACCAATTTTGGCATCGAAGCCAACACATTTCATATAAGCGACACATTCACATGGCTAGGACACCGCGAAACGAACCGGCCCCTTTTTTAGGATGCACTTTGAGTACACGCAGTCCCTTTTTGCAAAATAAATTTGCAATAAATTGTAGGCATGTCAGTCGGAATTAGACTTTTTAGAAAAACTTCCAATTCAATAGAAAATTTCGATTCAATACGAACTTTATAGAATTTTCCAACTTAAACAAATCATACTTTTTCGAGATTTAAAGAAAACAGACTAATTTATTCAATTCAATTTCTTCTTATATACATTTTTTTGTATTGTACATTACTGAAAGAAAACCCAGCTCAAACACTCAAAGATGTTTCGAACAGCTTAGCAGTTCACGAACCCACTATTTTTAGACGGTTACATGCGATGGAAACGATCCAAAAAAAAAGGACACTTATTGCAAGAGTTACCTAGGGATACACTATTGCAGCTCGAACGGGAAGTACTGCCATACCCAGCATACTCACCAGACGAAGCGTTTTCTGATTACCACTTGTTTACACTGATGAAGCATGGCTTGGTTGGCACCTAGCTCCGCAAAGTTGAAGAAGTGCAAAAATTGATCGGTGGTTGGATCATTGTCAAACCGGTATAAGTTCTTTCAGAACGATATCGCCATCTTGCTGGAAATATGGTAAAGTGTTGTAGAAAATGACGGAAAATTATTTGATTAATATACATTTACACCAATTTTTCTTTGTAAATCTCTTTTCCAAGTGAAAATATGTTAAAATTACATGCAAGCGCCTGATACGCATACCATAGCACACATTCACACACAAAACACAGAATTCTGCTTTGCGAACATTTGAGAAAACGTCACGTCATATCAAGCAGCTACTAATAGAATCTTTGGCCATACAAATATTAAGAATGAGAGCACAAGCGATCAAATTACAACTAATTAAGAGTTACTGCAGTTATTAAATAACAAAAACGAAAAGTCTGTAAAAATTCCCAAGATTGAATTTTGAACAATATGTTAGACAATCTTGTCGTTTATTTATCCCCGGGAGTACATAATGATTTTATTGCGCAAGTGCTGCTAACGAAATGTCTTGTTTTATAATGTCTAATATTTTTGATCTTATCCAATTGTTATTTTTGTTTTTAATATAATATGTAGTGAAAACAGAAATTTGTCAACGAAACACATTATTTTAAGATAGAAGAACAGGAACTATTGATTTGTTTTAGAAATAAGCTTCCTTAAACTCGTCGACTAACTCGTCTTTGTGGTTCGAAATTACAATTAGGTGTTAACACATGTGCAAAAAATGCAAGGAATCTAATTAACGCTCGCTTATAAACTGGATGTTAATCCCTGCTTGAATTAAGAAAATGAAGAGAATTAGTGGAGACATATGGCCTACAAAAAGTGAAAAGGATGAAATAACACTGAGTATTTTAGTTTGCTTTTTTATTCAGCATTATTTCTAGTCAGACACAAAACGGCATTCAAAAATCTTCGATATTGTTTATACCTAAACTTTGCATTGTATAGAAAAGAAAACACAAAAAACTATAAACTCTATCTAAAGCAAAAATTTTCTTTACATATTCGCACACAATTGAACTTTACGTTTGTCGCTGGACGATTTGAACCAAAAAGTGAGATGCATACAACAAATCTCAACGAAAAGTTACGTAGATGCAACAATCTGCTCGATAAAGACTGAAAGAAGAGTTTGAAACAATTCACAATCAAAATTATTTCCGAATAATTATGTATGAAAACTGTATACATCGTTTCCGCTTTTTGGTAATTTTGCATTATGAATGACATCGTCACCCATTATTTCTTAGCAACTCTCTTTTTTTGGAATATACATGCACAACAGCTGTAACATGACCGCTTTCATATATGTCAAATGAGACGGAAGCAATTGTTTGGAACAAGTTGACGTTAAAATTTAATGTTCAGAGTTGCATACATAAGAAAAATTAGCTCTAAAAAAACAACAATATAAAAAAAATTATTTTACGTACAAACAGAACTGTACAAACAAGTTCGAAATTGTAAGCGGCAGTAATTTACGTAACTAACTACCGTTACACTTCTGCGTTCTAATAAAAGAAAATCTGTGTCATGAAGCTAGGTCAACATTCGTAATATCTACTGATCACAACTGTTCCTAAGTGTAAAGTAAGCATGCATGTCATCGCATGTATTGATTAAGAAAATGAGTTTTCTTCTGATCTATTAAATAAAAAACTACTTCTTATATACTGTAAGAATACTCTTTTTTTCTTTTTTTTTTTTTTGATACGTTGAATGGAGATGGACTAAGCCAATAGATTTGTGGCTTATATGTCCGATAAGAATACTCAGAACAAAACCGAAGAAAGGAAATGCCTGCAAGAAGTGCAAAGCAGTATTTTACCAGATTAATGTTTTTAATAAATTAGATCAGTGCAGTTAAATAAAAGTGCAATTATGCCAAATTATCTTATTAATATAAAGCAGTTACAGTTAAAATAATTTACAACAAGTAAAATATTTGGAAATTTTGCTGCGGCCGAATCTCTTATACCCATCACTATTACGATTTTTGGCCTCCCATGTTTTTTATTTGTTATCATAAAAGAGGAAAATTTATGTTTCATCTTTTAGTTCAATAAAAGGTGTTGTTAAGAGTACTTATTCTACCACGTTGTGACGTCCACCATAATTAATCTAAAATTAACACAATTATCTCTTCGCCTTCTACTCTGCAAGTCCCTCCATTTGATATCCACATCGCTCGGATTATTAAGAAAAAATGAATCCACCACATCGTGGTATCCATCATATTTATTTTAAAATTAACGCATTCTTAGGCAGATAATAATCTTTATTTGAGGAATGTACAAATAGTTTTAAGCATTCTGTGTTCGTTGACTAACAAAAAGAAAACCTCAAAAAAGTGAAAAAAGGAAATTTAATTTTTTAAACTTGTAGCTTTGTGTGGACAAATCCTAGTTTTTTCGTTTTTACGCATAGACAATTAAGTTTTTCGCAAAGTAAATGTGTAAAAACCCACAAATTTTTGTGTAGAAAAACGGAATCTCATTTAGTTGTGCTTGTGCTTTGACCAATTTAGCCCATTTTCAGCGCCAACCTTTGTGTAAAAACTTCGAATATTTATACCAAGTTTGATGTCGAGGCACAGAGGGGCAGACTTGGCCTAATCAATTAAGAATTTCATGCTAATCAAGAATAGATATATATTTTATTGGATTTCTGGAGCTTCTTTTTGGGTGTTGCCAACATTATGAGTAAATGAGTGCACCGTTTATCTTGGAGTTTTGGGTATAACAAACATGGTGTACTAAACAAATAACGTTAGTCAAAATGAATAGAACGAATGTTAGTCAAAATGAATAAAGAATACATTCAAATGATGTCACATCATTCTTAATACTTTGCTTTTTTAGGAGGACATATGTGACAGTGCCGTTAAACATTGGTGAATGCGTGGCAAAGCACTTCATTTAACTCTGCAACAGAGTACTCGTTTAAGAGTATGGCGCTATGTGAGTGGCACTACACTTTTCTGAGCCAAGCTTCTAAGAAGCAACTTGTGTCGTAACTTAGATTTTGAACGATTCCAATTCGGATAGATAGTCAGTCAACTGACTCACCATAAAATTCCTGTGCGAAATAGAGGTGCAAATGCTAAAAATGCAGTAATCAATCGTGCATCGAAGAACGAACCAAGAATAGCCAAAAGTGCGGAAAGTAACCAGAGGACATCGAGAATACATCGCCTAATGGACCCCAAGTATAAACTAAGGAATACAGCGGATTTATAGATACCATATAATTAATTAAAATATATTATATATTAATATAACCATTCTTTAAGTTATCTTAAAAGTACATTAAACTCAACTTATTAACTGCAAAAGTGCTTCTAAAAAAGTAAAGATGTCTTATTTAAGAGAAATTTTAAAACCATATATATATATATATATATTTCGTTATAATATAACGAAAGAAAAAAGAGAGAACATTAAGTAGATCACTTCAAGTATTTCCTTGTATTGAGAAAAAGGACGAAACAAAACTATTGGTTTCTATTTATATATTTTACAAAGTTTTCACTACTGTGGGAGGTAAACAAGCATATCTTCCTACATATCCCAGAACAGACAATCAGGCAATCATCAAACACTTGCTGTTGCAAATAGATTTCAAAAACCCAAAAACAACAAAAATTTCTGCTGACAACTAGCACAAGCGTTGGTAGAATTCCTAAAAACTGCCTCAAGTCTCATTCCCGACTTTGGTGGCAGAACTAAAAATTTACAGAGTTTCATAGACGCACTACAACTGGTAGATACTATTAAAGAAACATACGAAACGGTGACAGTCTCATTGGTGAAAACCAAACTAAAAGCTGTCGTCAGAAATCACACAAATATTTGACACATTACAGCATAGAGTAAAAGCGAAATCAGTAGAAGTCTTAACGGTCAAATTTATGAATCTACAGCAAAGAAATAAAACAGCCAATCAGCACACAATGGAGGCAGACGTAAATAAGCCTCTGGAAGGAGCGTATATCGTGGGCGGACTGACGAATAATCTCAGCAGCAGAAACAACTAGTACCGGCAAAACAATACTATATTACACAAATAGGTCAATATTTCTAACCGGAGACGCAACAGAGGACGTTCCAGCTATAATAATGCCTACCAACGAAGGCAAACTGCCATTAACAGTAATAATAACAATAATAACAACAATATAGGTCGAAATAATCGGAAGAATCATCAGAGTAATCAATGCAACGATGGATAATGTATCCATAAATGGTAAGGATATTAAATTCGAGTGTCTAAATAATTCCGAAACCTTGGCTATAGGCCGCCAAACAGAATAAGAAAAGACAATACTATTAAACAAATTAAAATTTCCCACAGTATTTAAACAATCACTAATAGGAATATGTACAGAATTCTGCGACATCTTTCTTACTGAAACGGAACCACGCAACTAACTAAAAGCTCCGACTGAACGATAAAACACCGTTATATATTAAAAGTACCGAATTCCTTAATCACAAAAGTCCGAAATAGGTAAACAGGTCACTAAATTGATCAAAGACGGAGTAGTTGAACCGTCCACATCCAAATATAACAGCCCATTTTTACTAGTGTCCAAAAAATCTCTAGCAAACACTAACGAATAAAGATGGCGTTTAGTAGTGGATTATCGCCAAGCCAACAAGAAACTCTTAGCAGATAAACTTCCCCTTCCAAAAATTGAAGACGTTCTTGACCAGTTAGGAAAAGCCAAATATTTCCTATGCCTTGAGCTAATATCGTGATTTCATTAAATCGAAATCGGGGAGAAATGGCGAAATATAACTTCCTTTTCAACGAGCAATGGCTCATATCGCTACACGCGACTTCCATACGGACTAAAAATAGTCCCGAAGTCATTGCAGCGCATGATGACCCTTGCCTTCTTCGAACTAAAATCATCGCAAGAATTTCTCTATGATTTGGTAGTAATAGGATGTTCCGAGCAATATAAGCTCAAAAATTTAAGAGATCAGCATCGTTTGGGCTTTATTGATTTACAGCTAATCAAAGGCTTGCTATAAACGAGTACAGTAACGTAATGTTTCTCTTTAATAACCGCTTCTCACCTTGCTTAATTTCATAAGTGCCAAACATACTGACATCGTTCCCGTAAAAATCGTGTTAGCTTTGACTTGGTCCAGTTTGAATATGCCACCGGTCGGTGATAATTAGCCTATTCTGATTTTAAACCGATTTTTGACACATGACAAATTATTTAGCCCGCAATTTCTTCTTTAAAAGGCTTATTGGACGTAATTTTAATCCAAATTGGTTCTATTTAATAAACTTTGTCAAGAGTGCTCTAATGTCTACAGAGAAGAAGCACGAATAGGACGTCTTTTCCGAAAGGCCACTAATGAGTGAATCCCTACCAGTAGAAAACCATTAAGAAAAACTGCCTGGTTTACAGGCATTATTGTTAAATTAACATCCATGATGTGTCATGCTTGGAGGAAATTCAAAATGCATCGCTCTCATGAGAACGTCATAATTTATTGAAAAGCGTCCGCCATGGTTAAGAAAGCCTGCAAAATCCACAAAAGGTAAATAGAGATGAATAACCCTTCTCTGGATTGTCGCTTTGTCTGAAATAGAGTCAATAATTCAAGGAAATCAAGGGCACCCACATTTTCTACCTAAATTTTGTCTCCAGTCTACAAAAAGTAGGCTTGGAATTCGCTCCCTTTTGGAACTCGTTGCCTTTTGATAATGCTTGCAATTCAAAGATATTTGCTTTCAATCGCAATTTACACATTTTAAGTCTGTCGTATTCTATCTTTCCCGTAATGAGATGAACCTACTGACGTGACTTGATCAAACCCTAGTCACTCTCACAGGATGGAACTCCTCGTTACCTATAATTTCTTACCCAACGGTGGACAACGCTGCTTTGACAGTCAAAAGTTGCTTATGTGAGCTGAACAACATTATTATTACTTCTGCTCTCTTCCCACATAACTGGGAAACAGGGCAAAAATACCTCTCATTTGGATGGTTATAGGCCCATGTCACTTTTGCCCATACTAGCCAAAATTTTGGAGACAGTTTTTGTCAGACGATTTCTAAAACACGCAGAAGCAATTTTTCTAAGATGCAGTACACCGTTTTACTCAGACATAGTGTACCTACTCTTTACCATCAGCTTGGGGAAGTTTTGTGAAATATCTTATCATTGAGGAAACATTCATTGATTACTTCAGCTGATATAGAAAAGTCTTTTGATTGAGTGACCTTGACCCAAACCACCCGTGAGTTTAATAAATGGGACGTTTCACGCAAAATTCTTACTTTGCTACATTTTTTTCTCACGAACCGCTGAATGCTCGTTAAAATTAGCGGATACTATTCCAGGTTATTTGCCTCAGACGATGGAATCTCAAATATACGGTGCCATTTTTGCCGTTGCTTCCGCCATTTCTGAGAAAATGCGAGCTAATTTGGCTAGTTCAGACCTTCATATTTGTAACTGGATTCAACATGTAGGAACAATCATCCCTTGTAACAAGACCAGGACACCACAATATATAGACGAAGGTAACGTCAACAGGATTGAATTACCCTAGCGTGACAACCTGTGCGATTAGGTTTACTGAATGTACAGAAGCCTTTGATAGAAACATTTTGATTCACCACAGGTTTAGTACTTATTACAAGGACATCACTAGTTCTACTGTCTACAAGTCTCTCTTAGCTGTGCGATCGTAGCGATCTAGTACATGGATGAATTTCTTGATGGTATTAACACCAGTTTTTCCATCGTGAAACGACGTTCGATTCACTCTTTTAACGAATGCCGTTTGCCGGGCAGAGTTGGCGTTTTCTCCGAGAAAATGGTTGCCGCCGTATCTGTTGTGACATATGTCTTAGATCTGCGGGAAAGGACGCTAATCTGCTGATGGCTTACCGCCCTCAGACCAATACGATTCAATCGCATAGGTATTTTTGATCACGTATTATCCCCAGCATGCCACACTAACGTTAAGGTTGCTTGGATTACCTTCCATTTTGAGATTCCTGTCTTCTTCAGGCAATCACTTCACCATATATAAGCATTAAAGCCGCTATTAATGTCGATCGTTGAAACCATTCCGAGGTGTTTCTGCGATCAATCAACCTTTTAGTTAACAGGCCAAACTATAATAACTCCTTTACCTGAGTTGAATGAACTTTCTTAGCCCACATTAGAGCAAATAAGGATTTATTCGGTGCAAAACATCATTTTGAACGTTCTGAACCTGCCGAATGTTTATATAGTAATGCCTCTCTTTCTATCAGCCATTTTATTCAAACGTTCTCTATCTAAAACTAACGAACCCACTAAGAGAGTGTTTGACTGTTCGAGAAAAGACATGATTCTGAGAATTCACCTTTCTATTCAAGCACACGAAGCCGTTGACACCTAAACTGTATTTAACTTATCGCTTCGATTTCTCTAGTTACCCAATCTATTCATTTGTTATTTATTATCATTTTTTATATTTCTTCAATTATATGCTTAACCTTTTACCCTTTGCTACTCACAATCTCATAACCACCTAATAATCCGGCGTCTTTTAACCATATTTTCTAAAAATAGAAAAAATAAACTTGGCCCACCCTGTACTGTAGAATATAGAAACTAAATTTTTGTTTAAAGTCAGTAAGCCTCATAGCTACACAGCAGGCGATTTAAGCTATACGAAAGTACTTTCGTTTTCAAATGCACCTTCTCAGGAGGGATTCATTTGACCCGAATTTGCTTCATATAATAAATTTTTTTTTTACACATTCGAGAAGGTTCAACGCATCTATTAAGCCATTAGAAACAAACTTTTCTTTCCCGGAAAAATTTGTGGTTGTATCTCTTAACTATGTTGTCAAAAAAATATCCAAAATAAGTTAATATTTCAAATAATAAGTTTTTTAAGCAGAGTGTAGAGTTACTTAATTTGGTGACAAATAATTTCAGCTTTTTGAACTAAATGGCAAAGATAAAATTTGAATACATTTGATTTTTTAAAAGTAAATTTGCGAACACAAATACAAATATGCACATAAATAAATAAATAAGAAAAGATATAATTTATTTGGAAAAATGTGTTCTCCGTTGTAAAATACAGGAGTCGATTCATATCTGTCGACGTCGAACAAACTTGACGCTAATTTTCGAATTTCGGTGTATGGCTACCGACGTTAATTTTTACGTTTTGGATTGTGGCTGTCGAGTCGACACATTGAATAGTGAGCTTGCAGTTGTCGGCAATGTATGGGATCTTTGTCAGTGTCGACTGCAAATTCATTGGACGGTAAAATTGGTGTAGAATAACGTATTCAAAGGGAAAACAAACTAAGATATCATTACGAAATGTATATATCTGATGCAATCTTATTTATGACGGCAGGTCCAAACTTTAGCAAGAGCAGATAATTATTTTTGAAGCTTTTCCTCTCTGGTGCCACGAAATAAAAGCGTACTATGGAAAAAAATCTTTAAGAAATGGTCGCGACGTATATGTTAACTAAGCGTATTTGAATCATCTTAAACAAATACGAAAGTTGATATCCGTTTTTATTTGCTTTTTGTATGACATTCGTCATCGCATTCGCAGTTTAAAAATTTTGTTAGCAAAAACAAATGATGACTTCCAGTGTTTTACTGGCCAACTCAGTTGGCGTCATAAAATTTAAGGGTTAAAGAAAATATTGAATATAAATGGATTACAAAAAGAAACAAAGTCAAATTGTGAGTAATTATGATCTCCACAAATTCCAACTTCATCATGAACCCCTGCACAAATCTTTTCGAATCTTGTTACTTGTACGAATTTCCCGTAAAATATATATGACAGCCGCTTTTAAAACACAAAGCTTTCACAGATATTTACAAGTAATACCACCATTTACCATATTTATATTTTTGTATATATATGTATGCTGTTTACAGTTCTCCTTTTCTGCGTATCTTAATTCCGTCAAATAGTAAAAAATGATGTTGCGATGAATTCTGCCTAAAATTTATGGACTGATTAACATGTAAAGGACAACTTTCCTATAATGTAGCAAGTGATTATAAAAGGAATTCTTTTTATGAATGCTTAGCAGCGGCGGCATAATCTTTTCAAATACAACAAGGATTACATTATTTTAATTTGCATTAGTTTAGTTAGCCGATATCACCTATTTTCGTCGGAAAATTTTGAAATATTCAAATCATTTTCGTATAACGGCTTTTTTAAAGAAGGGCTTGTGTCTGGAATAGTCGTAAGCACAATCCGATCCGATACTTTTTGAACAGGGCCTTTATATTGAATACAAAAATATACAGACATTTGTCCAACAGACGGAACGATAAATAATCTTAAGTCCATTCAGAAAATGGTTTCGATTCGATCAAAATAATAAAAGGGTCGGTTTTAAGTACTTCAGGGTGTTGCATACGTATAGGTCGAAATTACGGTTTTACATACTTACACAAAATCGTTTTCTCCTGGTTTTAAAACTTCACTGCATTTTGTAATTTACCTTTTAATATTGCATCAAGACGTGTGTTTACTAGTGGGACCATTTGCAGCACAAGGGTATACTAAGCTTGTGCAGGTTTTGCAATAACGAAAAGAATTTAAGACCAACCCAACTTTTATTATGCCGATCGGTTCGGAATCGTTTTCTGATATGTTGCGGGCCAAGGACGAAAGGTATTGAAAATGGTGCGGATTGGGCCACTTTTTCAATCATTTCCCTTATATCGGCTTATTTTAAAAATTCGTTTTATGAATAAGTGTGTTTAGCGAAGTGCCGTAGGCTATTTAATAGTGGGCCGTGAACCATTATAGGGTTTTTACTTGCTTCAATTTAGAAAGTACTGCCTATTTCTTAAATGAACTTTATTAAATTAAATGTGTGCTATTTTAATTAATACCCTTTTCTTATTTTTCTGATGAAAAAGCTCGTTTGGGGGTCAGCTTTACATCATTAAGAGAGTTTGGCAGACAACGAAGCAAATGGTAGTGCGGCGAGGCAAAGCCTTCGCTAAACGGCGAATACATCAAAATTTCGTAATCCATATCTTTTAACTCGTCTCGAGCCAATAAAAATGAGTATGGTCTGCCAGTGGCATGGCGGGAGACAATATGTTTCTCCTTGATCAAGGAGAGGACACTTGAGGACAATTTAACTCAATAATCCGTTTTAATCGTGCCCATTATTGAAAACGGCGAGCCGCATGAATCGCCATGGCACGTTTAAGCTGCTAATAATATACGACTTATTCCCAGTTACATCATATACAACGTTTTACCCTGCTATGCGCCAATCGAGACTTTGCCATAGTTTACGCAATTTAATGTCGGTCCTATCGGTATTGCTGTATATTTACATCATGCTTGTATTTTACATTGCCTTCTTATTTAAAATTTTTTAGTATTTACAATTTTATAATAATAATATCATTTCTCTCAACATTTTAATTAAAAATCGCTACTTATCTATAAGTTTTCATATTAAAAAATTTCTCTATCCCATTTGTTTCATTTCTCATTGATTGTCTTAGATTTCTTATTGATATTTAAAAATAATTGTTGATAATTTCGCTTTGTTTTCATTTTGACATTTCAACAGTTTTCATTTATGCACCGCAACCTTAAACGTAAAAAACAAAACAGTTGAAGTACATAGAAACATGTAAATTTAAAAATATATAAAATTGTCCAAAAATTGAGCATGAAAGAATAAAAATACATTATGCAAGCGAATTCTTACTAAGTTAGTTAAAAGATATGATTTAGTTGTTTATAATAACAAGGACGATATGCAAACTTATCAACCATAAAAGATTGCCTAAATGGAACTGTACTTTGGCTGTTACTACAATAGATATCAAGACAGAGCTGAACCATACCACAATTCGAAGGATTAAATGAATGATAGATAAAAATGTAAACCAAATGATTCGGATGCCTACGCAATCAATATATAAGTGTATGCGAAAGAAATGGCACCAAAATCTCTCGATAAACAGCAGCAGTTAGTTGGTAAACAACATTCCAATACCTTCTACGTATCCGCTTACGCTCTGTGCCACAATAAACGCTTAAAGCAAAAGCGCCTAAAATGGACGGAAGCTATAAAGATTATCAGTAACAGAGACAAAAATAAAAAGACTGAGACTCGTAAAAGAAGGTTAAACGCTTTGCAGCCGGATGTTCACATTAATTTATTATCGGATGATGATATTGATAATTCAATCAATAAAAATAAGAACAATTCTGCTAATTATTGCGTAACAGTGGCACCAATCATGGATGATCAGCCAACAATAATGGCCAAAGCAAACGGTTTAGATCTAGAAAGAGCTACAATATTAGGTTTAATGCCTGTGGTGAGACCATCTATGGCATCTGTTACTACTGTTAACAAAACGCCAGATCCACCACGCAAACGGAAATCACGTAATCCCAAGAAATGTTCTCAACTTCAACCCATGTTCAATCCAAATGAAAGTATAATTCTAAGCGATGACAGCGATCTCTCACCAGATAATGTACCCGATTTGAGGGTTATTAGTCCACAGCCACGAAGTGAAAAGCAAATTGTAAATACCTGCCTGCCTCAAAATTCTATACAAGTTGATGAAGTTACGGTTTCGTTAGTGCCACGATCGCTTTCCGCCAGTTCCTGCGCCAGACGATCTTTAGAAAATAATAAAACTAACAATTCTGAGCCGTTTCCTATGCTACCCGATGAGACCACTGTGCAAACAGTTATAGCCAATCGCATTTACGAACTCTCGCTGACTAAACTGCGAGAGGGTTTAGCTTCATGCGGCATACCTGAATTTTCGGATGCTTCTCAAAAGATTTCACCTCAGAAACGAAAAGGCAATGTAAATCCACCGATGGCCACGCCGCCACAAGCGCCTATATCTCTAAAATTATCCAGTGATTTAAGCATCTCATTGATTTCAGATGATGATGATGATGATGATCAAAATCATCGGACGGAGCCGATTTTAAGTCCAGCTCTGTTACAAAAGCTACCTATTAATGTCTCTATAGCTCCAGTATCTGTGTCAAATGTCGTCCAAATTCCCGGACTACCAAAACGCAAACTTGGATAAGATGGCTAAATGGTCGTATGATCAACAGCCTTTTCATCAGTTTCCTAAATCGCATATGAAAATTTTAACACCATTCATACGTATTGGACATTAATATCTACTATCGGAGAGAAGCAGTACACCAATTGAGAATCTTTAAACGCATGTAAAATAATCATCTTGACTTTCGTATTATATCCACTCAGTCAGTTCGTTAATTTACTACTAAATTACTTCAAATCTTAAAAAAAAGTTCGCATATGCTTTCGATTTAATAGGGAAGATCTCTACATATTTTGCACAATATATAGACGACTTTGTTGACATCTGACTAATAGTAACTGCAACTTTCACATGGAATTTCCATGTGAAAAGGTTCGTGATCTTCGACAATTAACAAAAACATTGCACTTTTCAAATATTGGGTTGACAAGGAAGGCATTTCCTTCGTCTCCTCATTTACCTGTATGGAGTTGATATGTACTGATGTAACAGAGAGGTGGAAGAGGAGGTACATCGAAATTTTTTTCTCAATCTACTACTTTCGTGAAATAATGTATCTCCAATATTCATTACACGGTGGATAAAATTATCTTTCCTGCTTCATATGGTTCGATAGTTCGTATATTCCTGTATATTTCAAGACTAGGCACCCACCCCTCTCTTATTATTGTTTAAGACATAATAATTTACAAGTAAGTTGTAGTATTTCAATCTTAATAATTTTTGATTTTAATAAAAAATGTTCGAGTATTTTCGAAATATATCTCATCATCGATTACCCACTGTACAAATCTGCGGAGAGATTATTTCTCGTTTAAAAAAAATTTCGACCAAGTATTTCAAATATTATAATAATAATTAAGTGATAATAGAATCTATGACACAACTTAGAGTTTAAACATATATTTATGAAATAAATGATTGAATAAAATTACTTTAAAGGAGACATGAAAGAGTATACGTTTTTTAATAAATGTAAAACTATTTTTATTTATTTTTTATTGGAGCGTTTAGTTGCCTTTTTTGAATTTTTCTTTCCAAAATCTACTTTACTACAGAGCAAAGGGTTGTTGGATTGATTCTCGTAAACAGCCTTGGCCGATGAATGAAAATAACGAGGTTTACTTGTCGTTCCCTTGGCAGTAATCGTTAAACGCTTCAGAGCTCTAGGGACTATGTAATCGGGGACTTGCGATAGATGCGGCTGAATCTTAATTGTTTTCAGTGGTTTGTCGTGACGTAGAACTTGCAAATCGCGAGCATTTTCAATAAAGAAACCTTTCAGCTTTTCACTATTGAATATTTCTAGCTTGATTTCCCGTACGCGTGACTCATGTACGGCAATACGTGTTATAGCACGCCAAGCGTCCTTAGCACGATATCGAAAAGGCTCAACTTCATCCAATTTAAACTGATAATTTCTGCAAAGCGTAACACTATCAAACTACATGTTTTAATAATCTTTAAGGAGAATTTACTTTATAATTTGTTCATCACTCTTGTACCCTGTACGCAAACATTCTTCCACTTTTTCATTAATTTTTTGCTCATGTAGGCTTACAAATGATAAGACAGCGCCTTTATTGTTGCCCCTTGCCGTTCGCCCGGCACGATGTATATATGAGTTTACATCTTTCGGAAAATCAAGATTGATTACGTTCGAAACGCAATGAAAATCTATGCCTCTTGAAGCTCCCGACTCTTTTTCACTTTTATGTCGTCCAGGATTCTCTAGCATGTGTTCATCCGATGCTATAATAAGATCGTAGGCTCCTTGGTTAAATTGATTGATTGTATGTATACGTATTGTCGATGGCAATTCCGAATTCAGCACACAAGATTTTATGGAAAATTGCTCTAGAAAAAGTTTTAATCTGCAAAATGGTGGAAAGTGGAAAATAAATATAAAAAAAAAATGCACAAGTGATTTAAAATAGAAAATGCAATAAACTCTAATATCAATATCAGAGAGAAGATTAGTTGCATCATTTCGAAGCCAATTGCATCTGCTTTAAGACAAAAATGCTTATTCACTTTAAATGTAAAAAGTAACATCATTCTAGCTTTTCTTTAAATATATTACACTTAATTTTTTATACTTGCTTGTAAGAACGATCCACGGAGTTGACAAAGATTACATTCTTCCCTCTAATTAAGCGCAGTTTTAGCAGAGCATACAAAATGGCTGGTTTGTCGTCTTCCTCTACAATAATACGTTGATGTAATAATTGTTGCTCAGGCACTAATTCCGGTTCTTCCAATTTTAGTATAACTGGATTTTTTAAAATTATACTTTTGATATCTATAACTTCTTGCGTTATGGTCGCGGACACCAGCACCGCTTGATATATTGGAGGCAGGTACTCCGCAAATTTTTTAAATTCTTTCTCGAAGCCAAATGCAAATGTCAAATCCGCTTCATCTACTACTAATGTTTCCAAATATTTCAAATCCAACGCACCTGCTTGCAAATGGGACAATATTTTGGCTGGTGTACCCACCACCACGTCCGGTCTTTCGGAGAGAGCATGCCTTTCAGCAAGAACATCGTTAGAAGATAAATCTATAATTCTTAAAACTTTACCACATTTCTCGCTCATTTGTTGCATAGCAACGCGGGTTTGCTGGCACAATTCTTTGCTAGGTGCCAAAATTAAAGCGCTGATACGCTGTTCTGCAGCATTCATTTTAGTATTTAAAATTTTCTGTAGTAAAGGCAGAGCAAATGCTGCAGTTTTTCCAGATCCTGTACGAGCTTTAATGATAACATCTTTGCCCTCCAGCAGTTTAGGTATGGCAGCCTCCTGTATTAAGGTTGGTTCAGTCCAACCTAACTTAGAAATAGCCTGAAAAAAATTACATTCGCTAATTACTGTAATAAAAGCCGTTTATATACTAATACCTTTAAAATACGATCATCTAATTCCATTTCATAAAACTGCAACATTTTGCGCCCTTCCGACATTTCTTTTCGAAAGAAAATACTTTGCAACACGTTTTCATAAACAAAATATAAAACCTGACCCTTATAAAGTGAGGTAATAACAGCAACGTTTTAACGTGAACAGACAACGCGCAATTAGGAAAGAAAGACGGCAATATTTCCCTTTTAAACGCGAAAAGCCAAGGTCGCTATCTTAATAATAAAAATGAATACATAACTAAAATAATTTTAGAAAATAAAAAATTTTTTGGTCAATTAAAATTATTACAAAAAAATTCAACGAAAATTATATTATGATTTAAAAAACTTATATTAATTGTAAAAGTTTATTTCTTTGTTTTCTGTTAAAATGTTAGAGTATTTCGATATTATCTTTTTCGTTGAATTTAGTACGTTGGGCGAAAGTTGGCAGCACTTGTAAATATTTACTCGACATTAATATTAATTATAATCCTTAAGCTCCGCCTGAGTAGCCGAAGGCGAGGAATCTCGACTAGCAAGTCAATGGTCGTGGGTTCGAATCTCAAGTACGGTAGAGGTTTTAATAAAAGCCGAAAGCCTTAGATGCTAGTGCTTTTAAGAGTTTAGTCTTAGAATTTATTTCTCTGGCGAAATTAATAGTAATAATAATAATAATAATATAATCCTTAAATACATTTCCTTAATAAGAATTGTTAAATAAATGAACTACCACGACCCTTAACCTTGGTTTTTGAATGTTGAGTTTGAGTGGATTAAGCTAATAAGAATGAGACTTATATATCCTGATAATGGAATATGATCATTATTTGCAGAAGATATATTATATATGTATATTTTTGAGGTAATGAAAAACTGAAGCCGTATTATGTTAAGATCAATATGTAAGTACATTGTCAGGATGATGTAAAAATTGCCTGAAAAAAGAGTATTTTAGAGAAAATTTGATTTGAAAAATAAGCGATACTAAGAAATGAACAAAAGTTGAAAAAAGACCAATTTTTTAATAAAGCAAGTTAGTTCCCCGTAAAATGATCGGAGGAGTCATTATACAAATTGAAAAGCTGAGGTTTTAATACAACGGAGCCTGTGACATCTGAAGACGAGCTGTTCAGCAGATTCGCTAATATTGCAAACTTCACAAACAGGGCTTTGCATAGCACGAATCGGTTTTAAATATAGAGTATTATAAGTGTGGCTCCTCCGTGAGTCTGTAAAGTATTTTGATCTCCCAGAAATTAGAGACCGCCAGTATAAGGGATTTAAAGTTAAAAAGTCTTTGTTCTGGAGAAATTGCGATTAGTTTTCGCATGCGTAATTTCTGTAAATTCATCGTTTAGTTGCTGAAAGACGTGCTTTCGAATTACACGTATTTTTTCGCTTGAAGTATATTTGATGGACGAGATTGTACCGTCAAATTTATTCCTTTTTGCATGAATTTAGGCTTTTTCATTTAAAAAATATGTATAGTGGCCAGTTATCTATATAAGGTGACAGTCCTCAACTTAAGATTCATAGGATGATTATGTATTTCAAATACATATTGATTCTCTACTTCTGTTTTATTTATTAACGATAGCTGACTTTCTATCAAGAAAAACTACAATTTGTTTATGCCTATTTGTTACACTTTAAAGCAAGTCTGATGGCGAGCAATTCAATAAGGCTTAAGGAGAGTTCCTGCATGATTCTGACTTTATGTAACGTTTCAGAGAGATGCTTCATTACCGAGTAGCTGGACACCTTATGTCTCACCGAACCGTCAGTGGCAAATATATCATATACGTTGTTTTAATAAAAACCTAGTTTTTCTTGAAATAAAAAAAAGAAAGATTGACATTTTGCTTTGTTGTAGATATCGATTCAAGGATGTTCATGAAAAGTTTACGTAACGAAATTCCAGACAGAGATTGAATTTATCTTGTCAAAACTGTGGAGGAGTTTTTGATAACCAAATCTATAGCTGGAAGAGACAATATCACTGAAAGATACAACTTTCTGGGAAAAGGAAGGATGCATTATCTTAACCTTAATTAGCTCCCTAGCAACCGAAAAAAAAGAACTATTTCGGGGACGGGCCATTCACCAGAAATGACGTTAAGGATATGTTGGGAAGTTGAGAGTGTCAGCCCAGAACAGCGTTTTAGCATTCTATTTTCGAAAGCCTGTATACATTTCGCAATATATTTCGGAAAATTACGAGAAGTAGTATAAACAAATTTGATTTTAGACCGGGCTAATTCCTTGTACACAGTCAGAACTTTTTTGGGAGCCAATTTGACTAATTATTAGTCATGACTTCGATCATGTTGCATCCGGATTGACAGTCTTTAAAGGCTCACTCGTAATACACTCGAAGAGCTAGGCTATCATTTAACATTCTGCCTTGAAATTGAAGAAATTTTACCTGTTTGGCTTTAGTTTCTTTGATATAGAGCCTAATTTTGCGTTAGGCCCTCTCGTAAAATAAATTGTATTGATGAAAATATAAACTAAGATCGGCACATACGTCGAAAAAAAGGTTAGCTTTTATTGAGAGATTATTCGTATTGCCTGAAAGAATTAAGTTAGCGGATACTATTAAAAAACGCTAGCATATTGAAAAATATGAGTTTTGTCGTCTTGAAGGTCATGCAGATTGAAGAGCATGTGGCTCAAGCAACAGCCTTGTAGAATGTCACCATATATTTCAACTGTATCTGCATGTATTACCAACACCCGCTCGGATAAAAAGCGTAGGGTCCGTAGACATAGGAGAATTAAAAAGTTTTACAGCGTTCTACCAAGTTCACGCGATCGTCCGCCTTCCTCATATCCAGTGAGAGCATAACAACCATTTCACCGGCTTTTTTTGGTCTCGCTATGAGTAAAGATAATTCATTGATTCATATGTTTGTAGATTTGCGTTGTTGAAAAGAATAAGGTTCTTCGTGTTCAAGAAATCCGTCAGCCTCTCCTTAATTATAAGATTATCTTTTTGAAAACTGAAATAAGCGAAATGGGTCCAAACTTGCTTAAATCATTTAAGTCTTTACCTACTTTAACACTGGGAATAACTTTAATACTTCGCAATTTCAAGTCTATGATGCTGTTAGACCAGCAATTATTAATTGCATGCAACTAGGCAGCAAGTCTTCCCTCGGAGTGTACCCAGATCATGCCTTACTTGATTCCGTCACAATTTGCGGCAGTAGCCTGTTTCCTAGATTGTAAAATATATGTTAGTTTTCGTAAGGAGAAGGGTGCGTTATTGAGATTAGTAAAAAGAATTAAAGGTATTGCAATCTCGGAATGTAGCTCTTAAGCCTATTATTGTAAAGCTCATTCCATGTAATGTTACCGTTCAATTTTCGACTTACTTGTTGATGGCCGTTGCTACAATTCCAGAAAAAACGCGAGGTGCTACTGGTATACATCTCTTTAATCATGGTAGCTTTATGTTTCCTTTTGGCCTTCCCAACAGCGGATATCCAATCCTTCAGTGTATTCATATACTCAATGTAGGTGGCGGGATTGACGCTTAACTTTGTATACATAAAAGATTTGCTTTTTTTAATTAAGAAAACACTCATCAAAGTATACCTAACGCCGTGTGTTATAGAAAACGTCAAATTATCTTCTCGAATATCTTTCATTTACTAGTTTTGTTTCGTCTCAATTGGTGTCTTTTTCACATTTTTTTGAAGTTATTCCAAAATTTTTTGTTTCTACAAATCTTAAAGAACTTCTTTTCTACCATGAATATTTATTCTGCTACACCTTTCAAGTCATCTCTTAAAACTTTGTGTAATTATTTCTTTGGCGGATGCCGCACAGCGTTTCTGATGGGTGCTGGAGATTTGCTTGCGCAACATTACGGTGGTGTAAAGGATTTAAATAGTGTTAATTGGGTAAGGACTGTTAAATATGCTACGATCGGCTTGTGTTTCATGGGTCCGGTATTAACCTATTGGTCTAACATAATGCATCCTTGGGTTTGCTTACAACGAAATCGTACCTCTGCGGTTTTCAAACAAATTATAAGTGATCAAATTTACCTGGCGCCTACTCTCAACTTAGGTTTGGTCTGTCTATCGGATTTCGCAGATGCTAATTTCTTCGCCGAAATTGAACAACACATGTGCGAAAAATATATATTTGTAATGAAACGACACTATGCGTTTTGGCCTGCTGTCCAAATATTTTGTACCTTCGTAATACAACCAAATTTGCAATTGTTCTTTGCCAATGCCATCGCCATTGGATGGTTCGCGTACTTGTCTACGGTGCTAAATAACGATGAGGCTATTCAAAGCAAAGCAGAACCAACGTCGGAGCATAAGCAAAGGCGAAGATATTTCTTTTTATAACGAAATTTAAAATATAAAAAATACTCTTCTTACCTATTTTCATGAGTGAATTTATCTATGTTTACATAAGGCCAAGTGTTCTTTTAATGTCATTGTAAAAATTGTCAATTTCCTAGAGACATATTATTTTCTTAATAAAAAGAAAAAGCTGAATAAATATATATCAAAATTTTCCATAAAATAAATAATTTTTCGGAGCTGCTTTAATTTTAGCCAACATCATGTGCAATATAATGCCAAAACCCAAACCCTGCAGTATAAAAAGCTGCCTAAGGCCTTTAATAACAAGCGGTGTTCATACCGGCATCATAATGACTCTGGGCGATTTCTTTGCCCAGACATACTGGGAAAAAAAAGATTGGGATCAGATCGATTTAAAACGTAGCTTGAAATTTGGTGCCATTGGTTTCGTTTATGGCGGTCCCGTGATTGCTTTCTGGAATAGCATGGTTCGGAGTGCAGTGCCACGACGTGCACCATTTTTCGAAAAAGTTATCTACAGGGTAGTCACCACACAAGTCTACTTAGCACCTGCATTAAATTACGGGATATTGGGCTTGAGTGGAGCGGTCAAGAATGAAACCATTTCGAAAGAGTCTTTCGAGAAAGGACTAAATTATTTTGTCGAGGTCATGGAGAAAAATTATATGGTTTGGCCAATTACACATGCGTTGACTACTATAATTTTCCCTAGTACTAATTATGTAAAATTTGTTGTATTATCAGCAATCTCAATATTTTGGGCATCTTATTTGTCCACAACATTGATGCAATAAATTACAAATTCATTTATTTGACATGTAATTTAATAAAAGAGAAATTGATTTAAAAGTCAAAAAATTCATGTTAATCAACTTCGACTTTATTTTCATGGAGTAATATTGAATAATCGGAATTAAATTCGGCTTATTTGCCTCTCTGAAATTTTTTTGAAATACATTATATTTGCTTTCCTTTCCTGTTTATCACCTCAGAATTTGGCCGCATTTTTTTTTAAATTAAAATGTTCAATAATGATATGTAGAATGAGAGAAAACACAATAGGTAAATAGTCAATACAAAAAGCACGAATGTTCACCAAATAATTAAATTAATAAGTTTTTTAGTTTTAAAATTTCATAAATGTTCTCAAAACTTATCCATAAACTAAATGAAACCTGATGAACCGCAGTATAGTGCAGCGATTAAGAGAGCACTTAAGCAACAGTCTGCAGTGTGGAGCTATAATGGGCATTGGGGACTTGCTGGCACAAGCCTTTGGAAACAAAGCAGCATTTGAGGACATCGATCGTTTACGTACTATTAAATATGCTACAATAGGTTTAATAGTCGGACCGTTCTTAGGAGTTTGGTACACTTTTCTTGAGAAACATGTGCCAAGAAAGGACAACAAACTCAAAAGAGCGTTAAAAAAAACGGCGTACGATCAATTATTATTGGCTCCCATCTTAACTCTAGCAGTTGTACCCTTGGTTGGCATACTTAACCGGCAAAGTTATGACCAAATAAAGTACCGGTTGACAGTTTATTATCCCCAAATTATGAGAAAAAATTATGAAGTGTGGCTAATAATACAGTTCATTAACTTTAGCGTAATTCCCTTAAAATACCAAGTATCATTTATAAAAATGGCAGCTATACTTTGGAATTACTACTTATCACGTTTATTAAATAAAAATGAATAAAGATGAAAAATTAAATTGGAAAATTTTTAGAAATTCGATTGCAGGTAAATGAAAAGAAGTTCTCAGTGCTAAAAAGCAGGAATTATGGAAAAATCTTTAATTACATTTTTTAAGGATTATAATTTGGTAGCACTTTCTAGATAATAAAAAAGCATCTGTTGAATCGAAATATATTAGTGGATTATAACATCCAAGTACTTCTAGCCTAATTGTTTGTGTTTGTGCGTTTTTAAAACTGTGGTTTCATTCTAGTGCTTCTGAATTGTTTTTCGGGATATAAATATGGACAGAGCGAAAGTGATAACAATGGAATTAATATTGATTTACTTTATACCTTCTTCAATTTAATCTTTGGCTTGACCTTGATTTTTTTTTTTTTGGGTTTTTCAAATGGTTATCTCGCAAATTTTGTTAACCTATAGTGGAAGGTAAACAGTGAATAAATTATGACATAGAGTATGAGCTTCTTTTTATGTTCAGTGATGCTTTCATAAGTCTTACGAAATATCCCTCTATTATGCTATAATGGACTTTAAAAGATTGTTAAGTAAAACACTTCTTGCCCGAACCGTAGAAACTCGTTCAAAAACAAAAACTTCTGAATTTTCGGTGTTTGAAACGGCGCTTCAATTATAACGGAAGAAAAATTTTTCGGATTGTAATGCGACGAAGAAGAAGAATATGACCTGCACAAGATTTGCTTTAAGCCATACATTGGCACCCAGAAAAGGCTAAAGGAAATGTGCTTGCCTCCCAAGTAACCCCAAGTATTAATCAATTATGAAAAATACTGAAATAAAGAACGGCAACGATTTCAGTCATTAGTCAGGAATTAAATACAAAACGGGCGCAAAGTATAACAACACACTATTCATCCCATAATAATCCTTGATCACGTTTCTTAACTTATCGGACGAATGCTTCAATCGATCACAACCACTGAATCTCTAGATATTGTCTTATTATTCAGATTTTTGGCAGCATTCAAAAGGTTGCCGTTCTCTCATTGAAACTTAAAAGTTTGTGCACGAATAGTCTTACAATGCAGTGAAAAGCTTATATTTTCATCTTGATGGAATGTACAAAATTACATAGGAAATTTTAATAAACTATATATGCGGCATTGTTGATAATGCTTTCCTTTCCCTTCGTTATTAATGCGCTTATGGAACTCATAATAAAAAAGTGATGTAAACTCAGAAACAAGAAGCGAAACAAAAGTGCTGAATATACTTATGACGTTATAATCAAAAACTTGACAGCACTTTTGCTAAGGATAGCATTTTTTAGTAATTTTAAGATGACAAAAGAAGGGTCGTAAAGAAGATAATCCTAAATTGATGAAGATGTAGGCTCTAATTTAATTCAATTAAGAATATTTTTTCCGCATCACAACTTTTGTTTTATTTAATTTTATTAATATTTTTAAATATTTTTGTATCGAGTTTACCGAAATTTTTGTACTCATGAATCGCGCTTTTGTAAAACATTTCAAAGATTACCTTCGCGAAGGTTTACAGTGTGGAGTTATTATGGGAACGGGAGATATCTTGGCTCAAACAGTAACGGATAAAAGAGAACTTAAGGAAATTAATTTTGGGCGTACTTTAAAATATGCCTCACTTGGTATCTTCTATGTTGGACCTGTACTAAAAGGATGGTACAAATATCTAGATGTAATAGTAACAAAAAAAAACACCAAATTTGTGAGAGCTGCGAAAAAGATGCTTATAGATCAATCGATTATGGCTCCGATGTTAAACCTAACGCTAATTCCACTAGTTGGTATGGTGATGAATCAAAGTTACGATACAATAAAAAGTCATATAAAGTACGATTATTTACAAATTTTGGAAAAAAATTACATACTTTGGCCGGCTGCACAGCTAATTAATTTCGGTTTAATTCCTCTACAATTTCAAGTACTTTTTGTTCAAGTGATAGCAGTTGTATGGAATTTCTTCTTATCTGGCATATTAAACAAAAACAAATGATACGAAACTAAAAGAGAAATGCAGCTTCATATTGAAATTTAAAAAAAGGTGCCAGTAATGAATTTAAAAATGTTAAATAATATAAAGTTTTTTTTTCTAAAATATTTGTAGAAATACAAAAGGAGATTACCTTCAATATATCCTTTACAAAATAAAAAAAATTGTATTTTACTTCACATTTGCAAACATCTGCTAGGCTTTTGTATAGTAACAAAAGTCAATGCAAAACAAACGTGTGAATGATTGAATGAGAGAATTAGAGTGAATGGTCGCATGAGCTATCACATACTACTTTAAAAAAAATTAATAAGAGGAAGATAATACATAAGCATTTTAAACAATGATTAATGCTCGTGAAATTTTAACTTTGCAATTTGGTAATTATTCGAATTACATAGGAACGCATTGGTGGAACATACAGGTATTCTGAGATGATAACCATAAACTTACAAAATATCGAGAATTTGTTTTTATCGCCGCATTAACCATTTAGGAATCTGCCTTCTCTTACGATTGCGAAGGCGGAACGGGCGAAATCTGCCATGATGTGCTATACAGACAAGGAATCAATCACAACGTAAGTTCAAATTATAGCATACCGAGCCGGTATAGTTTTCAATTTTCTATCGCTAGAAGCAAATTACTTATACACCCCGATTGCTCTTGTTGGATTTGGAAGGGTCTCTGAAGCACTTACCACAAGATGGTGAATTATACGGTACTAGTTTAAAACGTAGTGGTGACTTAGCTGATGAAAGATTTGTTCATCAAGAGTGTGTGAAAAAGTTAAAGGAAGACTTAGCTTGGAAAGCTTCAGATGTAGAAATGATAGTCGAGCCAGAATCAAACAAAAATGAATTTCAACTGGATTTGGATAAAGAGGAACTCAACGTGTACGAAAAAGATTATAATTTAGCACAAAATGTAGATAGTTGGGCTGATTTCTTATACGCTCGTTATCATCCACGTACAATTCATGTAATAAAACAATATAATCATAGCAACGAAACGCAAATTTTTGATACATATTCGTCTGGAGTCCAACTATGGCAGGATGATCATTTCGAGGAGGACTACTGCGATCGGATCCGCCAATATGTGGAAGAGTGCGATTTTCTACAAGGTTTTCAGACGATATGTGATGCTTTTAACGGTTTCGCAGGATTAGCCAGTCAATGCTTAGAACACTTAAATGATGAATACCGAAAAGCAAATCTAGTAATACCAGTGTATAGCCCTCGTAATATATTATACGAGAATGCAGGTGATTAAGAGTCTCTATAGTGGTTTTCTAAAAGTTAACGCATTTCTTCCGTAGATGCTTTCATGTCCGATTCCATACGTGTTGTTAACAGTGCCTTTTTATTTCATCGGTTAGCAGAACATGCTTCTACTTTCATTCCGCTTAGTATTCATGGTCGGGTTTGGCGTGCACTAGAGTCGGTTCGCCAATTACCTCATCTTGACTACATACCTGATAATTTGTATCAAACTTCCGCGATTTTGGCTTCATATCTGGATACTATAACCCTAAAATATCGCTTAACGAATGCACAAAGTATTAACACAATTGCTGGTTTTTGTGCAGACTTGAACAACTATGGACGGAAATTGGCAGCTGCTGGATTAGCAATCCCTTTTCCCATGAATTTTGATGACGATCTCATCGATTGTTTAGATAAGTTTGAAGAACCGTTATTTACACAATTTACTCCAAATTGTAATATAGGCACAAATTATGTTGTGCAAAGTGTTTCTGTACGAGGCATACCAATACAGCGTTTGAAGAGACCACCTCAACAAGCCAAAGAACAAATTCATATGCCTGCCTACCGTTGTCAGTCAGTATCGGAAATGTTTCAATTCTATTTGCAGTGTGTAAATCATTCTAGCTTGGCTCATGTGACTTCTGTGAAAGCTGCCTTATCTACACGCGTACCTTTTCCCATTGAAATGCTTGATAGACGTTTAACAACATCTGGCTTTATAAACATTTTTAAGAAACGGAATTTGGAGGAGAAAGTACAATCCGTGACTTGTTTAGCCATCGCCCAATCCTCTAATGAAATAGGTGACATGCTGGAGTCTTTATATAAAGAAGCGAAACGTCTAAAAATATCAAAATTAGTGCGTTTTAAAGCAGCCGGTTTAGAAGAAGACGATTATGAAGAAACTTTAGAAGGTCTGTTATTATTTAAAGATAATTACGAGGATAATTATGAACTGTAATTAACATTGCGGGCTGTAGGGCTATTACACTTTTTAAAACAGTTTCATAATTAGTTTATTAATATATGTAAGAGATGTTTTTAGATTTTAAACACAAAAATATAATTTATATTTATTTTTCTAGTGTCTGTAATGTTTTACAATGTATAGGCTGGTATGCTTTAGAATATTATTTTTTCTCTAAGTAATCTTTCGAATCGCCCATAACTTTGGTGGTTATAAATCTTTTATTAGGACGCATTGAAGGCGAGGTCACCGTACTGTTGGTTTCGTTACTGGAAGGAGCTTGTACCGATTGTGACGGTACTAAAAGGAATTCATTAAATAGGAACTCTGCATCCATAGATTGGGTTTTGCCCCGCAAAGTACGGGCAAGGCGTCTGGGCGGTTCTATGAATTTTTCTCTAACTATTAGTGCACCTGGACGAGGGCTTGTTGGACCACTTGCGGGTGCAAGGTCAGTGGCGACCGTTGAACATGATTGTGTAACTGGTCGAAAAGCTGTCATTTTATGTTGTGGTGAACTGCAAACAGACGAGGAATTTGAAGCAGCCACGCCAGAACTTTTTAGATTTATACAAGATTGCGTTAACTCGGCATCAACAAAATCTTCAACTTTGTTAGGTACCCGTTTTAAGGTATTGCTTTCGAAAGGAAAATTCGAGTTTGAGGTCGATTGAGTTAGATTTTCAAATTTGCGCAAACGAGCATCTTGCTTCAGTTGAGCTGGTATATTTATGGAACCGTGCAACACAGAATAATCTTTGGGCTTATCGAATTCACCATCTTCAAAAAGGCTTATTTGCCTTTGTATCCGTGGCGATATAGGGTCTGAAACTTTTCTAACATTTAATGAAGGCAGTTCGGGGTTAAGCAAGCCTGCACTCAACGGTGGTTCCGCGCATGCGCAGGGAGTTTTGCGCTCATGCGCTGCTAAACGTTTGCTGCGCATTATAGTAAATAATTCATTCGATTTTTGCGTATCATCTGGTGGCTGCCCTTGATTAACGTGAGCTTCGCAACAATAGCAGAAAGCCATTTGCGATTCATCGCAGGGCAAAGATGGGGTAGCAGCAGAGGGTGTAGCGTCGTCGTCATCTTCAAAACCCTTTTATATAAAGATAAGACAACAAAAATTTCGATAAATTCTTTTATTTAAGTTCGTTTAATTTGTAACTTACTTCCATTGATAATGTCAAAGATCCTTTATTGGCGACTATGCTAAGATCCATGTTAAAACTGACTGGTGTCAAACAGGCACTCTTCGCTTCAAAACCAGCAGCCACTGCTGAGAAATGGAGTTCATCTAATGCATTGTTCGCCTCACCTAATGTGTCTGTATTTAGAGGCGCGTAAACGCTAACCGAATTTAAATCAACATCCAATTGTGGAAAGAACTTGGCGAGTTGTTCTGTGGCAGCTGGTGGCATATTGTAACCTTCCGTGCTGGTTAAACTAATTGACATGTCACAACTTGGTGTCTCTTGTGAACAAGTATCCGATATGGCTGGCGATGACGGCTCCGTAATACTGCTGGCTATACTTGATTGTTTACTCCACACTTCATAGTTATTTTAATAATTTTTTTTTTATATTTAAATATTTTACATATATTTAAAATATTATTTGAAATTTGAAAAAATGCTATAATATTCTTAAAATCGTATTGACTAGCAAATTAAAGAACAACAAATATAAAAATTAATATTTAACAATGAAATATGCAATTTGAACTAAGCAAATATTAAAAACAAAATTTTGTTTTTAATAATATTATACAGTTTGTGGAGCTTAAATAAGGAGTCTATATAGTATTTAAAGTAAGTAATGTCCAAATTATTTCAATATATTAGTTTAATAGAAAATGCTATAATTCAATAATCAGGAGACAAAAGTAAATAAGAAAACTGCAACCGCTCTGAATTGAAATCCCATTATTAATGGATTATTCATGAATTATTGGTGTATTTCATAGATTGCAAGTTACTAGTCAAAACACGTTTTCCTTAAGATTATCGAAGTTTTCACTTATTGCTGTACATTATTTGGTTTAAGTGAATGAGTAAGAAGCCTCAACTCAATTTTTGCGATAGCTGAAATATGTAACTGTTATCAAAGCGGAAATTAATGTTGCAAGTAGATAATGTTGTTAATGTTGCGCGAAGTAAATTTACGTCTGAATAGGTGATGGCTTTGGCGCATTGGTGGCTAACATCTAACACAATACTTAAGAGTATTATGAAATAAATCTCATATAAGATTTATGCATAATCTAGAAAATAATTCTGTCATATCTATATAATTTTTTAATTAATAGTAATGTTCAAGCCTTTTTCAACTTGATGGGACGAAGGCGGCACGGTGCGAATCGTATGTAGTCAGACGTCCTGTTTCCTTGCTGTTTCCCCTAAACCGATAAATGTATCCACTTCTCAAATGTAAGCTATGTTAATCTAACATAAACTACTCTACCCATATATATTTGTCCTTCTCTATACATTTAATTATCATATAAGTAGTTGTATACTATTTATTTCGCGACAGATGATTTTTAAATCTCAATCCAAATGGTCTAGTGGAACTCTATTTGGCTGATTTACAACTTTAATCGTAATCGGTTAACGAGGGCGAAGAAGAAAGGTAGACCGATCAACGCTACTCGTTTAATTCGACACTGAGATGCGAAAAGAAATATAACCAAAACTTCTCAGCTTTCGTAAATAATATTATATTAGTCCGTTAACATAAACTTATGAGCGCTCCTTGATGCCCTGAGATAATAAAATTTCGCAATGAACTTTTATAATATTAGATACGGTTTCTTTGATCATTATTATGAAAGTTGATCTTTATATTGAAAATGACGATCAAGTAAATAGAGAGAAGAAAAAAAAGCAAAATACATAAATAAATAAATGTAAATAAACCAAAACGCACATTGGTAGTAAATAAAAATGAAAAAGTTGACAAAATATGAAGGAAAAGTATCTACTGTTAACATTACTGCTGCCTTATCTACGCATGGCAGCGATGCAAGAAGTTTTGAAACATTTTTGCAATCGGCTATATGTTTGCGATGACTTTGTTCTTAGGTGATAGAAAAGTAGACTAACCTACTAATAGTATTAGTATTGTCTGTATTGTAACTTATGTATGTTTTATTGTATTCGTGTTAATTTATTTATTTTTTTTTGTAAATGGATTCTTAAAACTTTTACATATAGGGGGAATGATTAATAAAGCGTGGACTGTGTAACCGAACGATGGTGCTATTTAAGATCTCTTAATCGTAGGTAAACGTCGCGTCGAGGGCAGCAGATTATGAATATCCACCCGAAAGATATATAAGCCAGTTTTATTTAGAATTACATTTCAAATACATAAATAATCGAATGCGAAAAATAAATTTTCCTTATCTTCATTCATTATTATCATAAATATTATTGATATTAATTCATAAAATATAAAAGATATAATAGAAACGATAATTTCGATTTTCCTTATCCCATATTTATATAAAAAAAGAAAAAAGTTCGCAATGATGCATTAAATAAATTTAAAATTATAAAAACAAACATGTTTGTGAAAAAATAAAAGACCCTTTACATAGAATTTTTATATATTACTACAATTTTTATAATCTTACCCATGTGCCGTGTAGACACATGGGTAAATGTTTCTTAAAACATCAACACTTACTAATGTTTGAAGGATTTTGAGCGGACGATTGATTTAAATTTCTTTCCAGACGTGTTGGATCAAATCTTCTTTGACGACCGCAACGAGTGCACAATTCAAAATGAGAATCCTCATCGCGGTGATTATCGTTGCAGATGCATAAATGGTTAGTAGGTGTACTGACACATGTTTCTTCTTCAATAGTTGTCGTAATCATCGAGAGCGGAGTTGACGGGTTTTTCGGTGGTGTACACGTTGGCGTTTTAAATAGTGGTGCCGTTGTCATTTTCTCCAGGAAGTTATCGAGTTGTTTAAGTGAAAGAGCATTGTGCAGTGTTTCCAAGGGCCGTATGGGTGGCACACCACCAAAGCCCTCTAAAACTATCCAAGCAATCAAAAAAGTATTAAAATGTCCAATCAATATTAAAAATAATATGTATAACGAGAATTGAGTAAATTGTTTTAACACCCTCCACCAAAGAAAGATGTATAAAAATTCTGTTTTTTAATATTTCAAAATACGTATTGTAACACATATAAATTATATCTGATATGTTTTCAACCTACTCATCTTGATCTAAACCAGTTTTCCGCGTCTTCGTTGTCAAAACCACTTCGGATTGCAAAAGTTGAATTAGAATAATGAACATCCGGTTAGCGTTGGAAATGCTTACTATTAAAACAGCTATTTATGAGTTGTTAGTAGAAAGTACTCCTAAAAAAGCGAAAGCGGATGACAGCAGAAGCGGTCTGCTGTGTCATTTTCAATTAACTTTAACTTTTTAGTCGCTTGCAGTATTTCCTCTTTAACAGAAATTGGCAAATTTATCTTTGCTTGGTCGGTCACGTTTCTTGGTTTTCCAGAAGGACGATTTAGAAAAAAAAATTTAAAATTACATGTAGATACAGGTCTCATAAGCAGGCTAACCAGCCAAAGCGATAAGATTGGGTCGAATATCGCAAAGCCAGACTTTTCAGAGGCGTAACGCGGAAGCTCGTCGAACCTGTTTGGCTATTTCAAAAATATATATTAAATTTCAGAATCCAAAGTAATACTTTTTATATTTCACCATTTTAATATTTTATTCATTAGATTAAAGTTACATTATTAATGTAAATATTGTAATTTGTTCGCAATATGACTCACTTTTACTTCTCGCTTTTCTCTACTTATTATGAGTAAATATCCAAATTCTATATATTACGAGCATATCCTAATACAAATTATGAGCGGATAACGCTAGGCTATTCTACTGATTAAGTTGAAAAATACCCCGCCTGCCTATTATATATATATATACATATAAATATATATATTTATTTGTAGAAAAGATGAAAAATGATTTTTCACATTTTAGACGAATTGCAAACAACGAACATTTTTAAAATTATATCCAAAAACACTTATACATATATAGACATAAATAAATAATAAAAAAGAAAAAAAATTATGTTATTTTTTTACTTAACTTACCTGATGATGAGACTGGTATCATATCTCGTAAATTGGGTGCCGAAGAACTTCCACTGATAACCGCAGTGCTAAATAAGCTATTGGCGCTGGTGGTCATCTTTTTATTGAAACCACCGAATCCCAACATTTTCATATAAGACATCTGGCCGGCAATACTGTGTCTTTGACGTCTAGACGACGATACCGATGATGTGGACGATACCGAAGTGGCATTACCGTCTATAGTTGCGGAAGTGGTCGTGGTTATGTTGTCGTTGTGCATGCCACCGGTAGCCGTTGTGGTTGTGGTAATGGGATAAGAGGTAATGGTAAGGTGGGGAGTGGTTGATACATTGTTATTGTCATTATTGGTATAAGAGGCAGCAGAGGATAAATTATGAAATAGATCGGTAAAGGAACGGAGATCATGGGTCGTGACATTAGAAGAGTCAGTAATGAGTTTGGTATTAAATTCATTTGTATTATATGATAAATTAGTTAAATTATTGGCGGAAGTAGAAGAAGTTAAAGTTACAACAACATTCGGTATTGTGATATTTGTATGTAAATTTGAATTTGTGGCCGAATGGTAATGCAAATGTATGTTATGATGCGATTGATGTTTCGTATAAAATTTTTCTCGTGATTGCTCTTGTTGCTGATAGGTATCGGGAGGATAATGAATTGGAGTACTCTGATAACTGGTTATGCTAGCAGAATTTTCAGCGATGGGAGGAATTACGGTACAAATGTTGCATGGAAATTTAAAAGGATTTGCTAACTCTACTATAATCGGGGCCGATTGAGCGTTGGTCAATGAGGTCTTATGCTTAGCAACTATGAGTGCACGGTCAGTAGGCTTAACAATTATGGGCAACGATGCAGTGTCTTCCAAAGCTTTGCATAATTGTAAAGTGGAAGCGGTAGGTGAATTGGTAAGGGAGGAGGCTTTCAATAATCTGTTATCACGATGTTGTTGTGGAAGAAAATCACCACTTAATAGAACAGCAGGAGCTGAAGCAGACATTTGGAAATCCTCCTCAAATTCGGCATAATTGCTTTGCTTTTTGATAAAAGGCATTATCAGCTCACTGAGGTCGGTTTCACTTTTTGCATGATTATGAGGTAAGGAATTCTCTTCATTATCAATGCATAAGTGTAACGAGCAGTTGCAAGTTAATGGTCTCTCATTAGTCGATAGAGGTGACATTCTACGAAATTCTCGCAATTTTTGTATATAATCTGAACTATCATTACTTTCCATACGCCGCATAGTTAATAACTGACTTTGTTTTTTTAATAATTGCTCTGTTGCTGAATCGGTTTTTTGAGTCGGGCAAATTTCTTGATTGTTATTACCGTTCGGAGTCAGATTAAAATCTATTTCGGATAGGGGTAACTCGTTCGTCGATGAATCGATTTTGTAAAGTGTTAAATTATCTGTTATGCGTATTTGAAAAGCTGTACGATTAAGATTAGTTATACTGTGTGATGAATTGAAAATTTCTGGGAATTTTTTATCACTGGCAAGGCAGATACCATCTAGAATTGTTAATACGACCGATTTATATAAAAGCGTAGAAAGCGCGAAACAAGTATATTTCAAGGAAAAATTTTACGGGAATTTATTTTTTCGATTTAAAATTTTTAAGCGTATTTTAAAAGAAATACATATAAAGAAACCTTTTATTAGATATGTGTGTAATTTATAAAAGTACGGAAAATCACATATACATAACTTGGTAGGAATGCATATTGAACATTACATACACACACACTTTTACATATATGTATATATATACATATATATACATATGTACATATATACGGAATAAATACAAGCAAAACTATTTACAGATGCACAAGCATGAAATACGAAACAATAATTAAACAATTGAATGCTAAATCATGCAAGCCTGGCAAGTGAAAGGCAGGTAGAGATCCCAAGAAGGATAGATACATTTTTTAAGGCAACAAAAGAGTGTAGTAATTAATGTTAGATTTTTTTTAATTCTTTCCCTTTTTTTTATATTATTATTGCAAGACTTTTTATAATTAGTTAATTTAACTGCCGACATTAATACATTAATTGAAATCGATTTTTTTTTAATGAACTCTGCTAAACCATTTCGTTAATACGGAAAAGGTTGTTGGAGTAATGGCAGTAGTTAATTTAACTAAACGACGGGAACGTATTGAGTATGATTTGAATAGAGGCGGCACCGAATTTCAGCCAAATACACGGAACTTCCCGGCCAGATGCTTATACATTCGAGTTATAATACATGATTACAACAATAATTTCGATTAAACATAAAAAGTGATGTGAATTTTTATGTTTTGCTTCGGTTTTTTTGTTTAGTAGAAATATTGAAAGTATTGTTTTGTACACATATATACATATATATATTTATATATATATATACATACGTGTACACGTATATATATATATATATATACACGTATACATATATATATATGTACACACGTACAGAAACTATAAGTGTTAAATAAGATTTATTTTTACATAAGTAATTGTTCTTTTTTTCGGATAATTTTTTTTTGTTTTTTAATAACAGAACCAAAATATTTATTTAAATTTATTCAATTAGAAGATAGTTGGAAATGTTAGAAAATATATTCATTAATGTTTTTTTTACAATTCTTTACAAAATAAAATCACAAAATATGAAAAGTGAGTCTAATCAAACATTTCCTAGTCTTCGCACCCCGATGTTCACTTAAGATAGATCGTGAAGAAAAGTATTTTCGCATTAGCGCGGATTTTTAATATTCAACATTTTAAGAAAAATCATCAAACTTTTTTTTTGGTAAATGGCTCTATTGGCCCAAGTACGCCGCATATTACACTGAATATCGTTTAATATTTGGCGTTTACTTTTCTTACATGTGTAAAAATTGTTGGCATTTGTTTTGCTTTGTAAAATTTTCCACCAAAAAGGAAGCAACACATTGCATATGTCTTTAAAGGTTCTTCAGAAATGGAGAAAAGTTTGGTTGCAAGTTTTAGCACTTCAGCTATATACTGTTATAGCAAGTGCATGTATAACTTTGCTTTCGCCGTTTTGCAATGTTTCATGTTTTATCGGTATGTGGTGATGGAAATAAACACACATAGTCATAGTCAGATAAGGTTGAGCATTTGTTAGCATAACCCCTTCAAAATATTAGTTGATTTGTGTCCGTATCTTAAACTTATTTCCGATTAAATACATCAGTCTGCAAGCTCAACTTTCCTCATTTACTAGAGCTTTCATTTTTCTGCTCCAATATCAAAAAGTCAGCCGCTGACGCTCATGGAATGCTCTCAAATATTTAGTGTCCCAGACAACTATTAGTGATAGAGTGTGTCGTGAACGTTTCCAACGCTTCAAGAAGCGTTATTTTCGTGTCATGTCCTGTATTTGATGCGATCAGCTCAAGGCAGTGTACTGTGAGCTGCTAAAATCGTCTGAAATAATCGCAGGTTACCTGCATCGAAACCAATTAATGCCTTTATGCTGTACATTGAAAGGCAAACGGCCCCCAATTCATCATGACTACTTAAGTTTGAAGTTTGGAGAAGTTTAAATAGAAAGTTATACCGCACCCCCGTGTCCACCAGTCCTTGCCCCTACTGACTATCACTTATTTGGAGTAATGGCACAAAATGGCCTGACTGACGTGCGCTTCCGTTTTTATAAAGAACCTAAACCTTGAATTGAGTATTCCCTCAGAAGATGAGCAGGGTTTTCGACTCAAGCCTGAAATATAAGAGAAAGTAGCAGCCAGCGACAGGCAAACTAGGAATAGTGGATATTTAAACAATTTTTTACAACTTTATACATCTATACAATGTTTACAGGTTTATACACCTAATCTTATTTGTTTTGGCGTTGACGTCGGTCTTTAGACCTATAACTACATAAGTTTTTTAGCTGAAAGAAGAACTGAAAACTAAGAATTATTTATGTTCGATTTCGAACTCCATTTTCGCGCAATGAATGTGTCAAAAATAAGTTACAACAGAACGACAGATGCGCATGCCTGTCAGTGGAAAGTATGAGAACCGTACGTTTTAAAGACAGCAATTTATTTAACAGATGATCGTTATGTAGTTTTTTAGTGAAAATAAGTTTCTTTTTTTTTTATTATGCCCGGACAATATTATTATCACCCCGTATAATAAGATTAAAGTATGCCACGCAAAGTCATCTTAGAAGGCACTTAATCTGCAACTGTAGCCCGCTTGCATTTAAATTTATTGAAAGATTAAACACAAGATTGTTCTAGAAGTTTTGCCTTTTGCCTTTTGCATAACTGAATACACACTTTCATATTTTGTGAAGTATTTTTCAATAAGAACATGCAAGAAACAAAAATAAAACAAAAAAAGTTAAAAAAAAAAAAAAAAAAAAAAAAAAAAAGGTAAAGTATATATAAAACAGAGCAACAAGAGAGCGACAGACAAAGAATTTTGTTAGAAGAAAGAAAAGAGAGTAAAATAAAGCCAAACAAAATCGATTGGAATAAGAAAATTACCTTTTGACTTTTGAGCATGTTGTTGTTCATAACTTCGGGAGCGCGGTTCAGCGTTAGGGCTTATGGGACGGGCCGTTTCCAGAGAACCAGTTTGTTTGGTTTGCTGCTGTGAGGCCAATTCTTCATTCAAACGTTTAGCCAAATCTAAAGCTTCATGGCCGCTAACAGTGTGATGAGCACCGATTGAAATGGGTTTTGATTTGAGGTGAGCTTTATCCAATATATTAGAGACCTTTTGTATTGAAAATATCGAAAGGTGCAACAAAAATAATGTAATTAAGAAGTTTATATTCCCAGGCCAGCTTTAGCATGCCAATGGCTACAAGCAGATATAAACAGATTTCAATATTTCGAACGAAACCGATTTCATTCGGAACTTTCAGATAGTTTTAATAAAGATTGGTGACAAAAATTAAAACTAATAGTCGGTAGAGATCGAAATTTATTCAAGGAAATATACCAAAGATTTCGAGCGTTTTCGAAGTTGCTTCAATTCACGCTTACATATATACTAGAACGTGTTGGTCACCTATCGATTTTTTGTTATATCCACCACTGAAGGATGGGGGTACACTCATTTTCTCTCTTTCCATAACGTATGTAATACCCAAAAGGAAACTTCAGAGACCTTACAAAGTATATATATTCTTGACCACCGTAAAATTCTGAATTGAATAAGCCATGTCTGTCCGTCTGTGTTTCTGTATGGTGTTTATCATTAGCACTCTCTTGGTCGCAAAAATGAGGACATTAACTTCAAATTTGGTAGAAATATTGGAAGATTTCGCACGCAGGTTGACGTTGATAATGGTCTAAATTGGTCAGAGCAGAAGCCCGCAGTGGAGCGTAAACTAAAGTCATCTCCGTTTTTCTTAATAAAAATATGTGAGTTTTTGCCCGCTTTGCTCAGAAATTATAAAGGTTACAAGACTAAAATCTTCCGTATTTGCTTTACGAAACACTCTACACTTAAAGTGCAAAAAAGGAAAAAATTGGCCGTGTCCCTACAAAGTTGTAAGTAGTTAAATTCTATATTTTTGACTGTTTTGATTATTATTATTTTTGATTAGGCAAACAAGACGGAATGTTTAAAACTATTTTCTACATTCCTCAAATGAAGATATGTTATCTGCCTAAAACTGGGTTAAATCTAAAATGCATGTGGCAGACGTTGCGATTAATATTTTCTTAATAATACCAGCGGCACGAGTATCAAATAAAAAAAACTTAGAGTGTTGAATGCAAAAAGCACAGCGGTGGGCATGCGAGATTCGGCCCTCGCCGATTATGACTTTTTCATTATTTTTTTTAATTCTTGTGACTTTTAAAATGGCACAACGCTCTGGAGATAAACGGACATATCTAACTCATCTTATTGTTTGTTTCTAAACAGTACAAACTCTGTAAGATAGTTATGGTACACATATTCTTCTGGGATTAATATGAGATTTTATAGAAAGTAATGTTAACCTTTTGATTTTTTACAGGACTTTCGTCAGTATCGTTTTCCTCATCAATGCGTTCAGGATTGCCGGTTAGATCATCACTACACTGTAATGTAAAAAGTTATAAAAAAATTGTTGTCATAGTTTGTCAATACAATTTTTTTTAAATAATTCAATACTGCGTGCTTACCACTGCTTTCAAGGCATTTGAATCGTTGCGCGAATGTGGTCTAAAGCCAGGGCCTGGTGGTAAATTCTTTTGCACACAGCAATTGACACCGGGACTGAAATGTAATTCCACATGAAATCTTTCTTCTGAGGTAGGATCCTTGGTTGGATCTTCGTATAACATTATAACAATTTGTGACATGTAATTCAATTCAGAAACCATCGAAATGTAATCCATAGCGCGGCGCCATTGCTCATCTGTAGTCACATTTAACAATCCACCGTAGCGTAACACAGTCAATAAAGAATGAACATGACTTTCACTAGTAAAATATAGACGAGTGCGCACATGTCGTCCCGGGCTTGCCACACCATGGCTATATTGTGGATTTAAACGATTCACTGATTCATCGTCGACTTCTTCGATGTTACGTTGCAGATCAGATTTGATTTTCTTTAGCAATGGCGTACAAATACCCTGGCCAATTGTTAACTTTTCTTGAGTTGTTAAGCCATACTCTTGCGGTATCACAATATCAGCCAAATATTTCGCGTATATATACAATTCTTCGGCCTGATCATATTGTAACGTATGTTGATTATGTTGCAAATCATATTTAATGCAGTCATAAATATCGGGAATTTTCGATATATCATACAGTTTAGACTTTGTACTGAAGTCTTTCTCAATCTTTTCCCAACGACAACGCATTAAATCCCAAGTCTCACCATGATATAGAATTGCGTCTTTGGTTTTTGGATCATCTTTTTTAACACTGATTATGACTAATAATTCTTTAATTAATTTATGAACGTGTTGACAACATTCGACAGGATTTTTAACAAAATCGAGGGCTTGATTAATCGATATACTATTATTGGGATTAATTGCTATGCGATCATCTGAAGTAAATTCACGATCTAGACGCATTAATTCATGTAAACGATTTTTGGCCCTTTTAAATGTAAAAGCATAATATATATGTTCAATATGCCAGGCTTTAGAGTATGACTTACATATTTTGATATTTACTCGAATCACAATCATTATCTAACAAGCCATTGGTGTTTGCACTTTTGACCATTTGTACCAATATTGGTGTTAATTCACCTTCCAAAGCCAGTAGGCCTTTAGCAAAAGCGGCAGCTGTCATTTGTACCCGGCCCTCGTCCGAAGCGTAGATTTTGAGATCATGGCGAAACGTTGAATGTAGCCTTTATTGAAGAAAGCAAACGCAAGTAAAGCACAGCACGTTCGAAGCTCGAATTCATCCACTTTACCTTAATAAACCCAAGCCTTGTGTACCAGAATAATCATAACGCCCTTGACCACCGGGATACATACAACGAAATATACGACCTAGTTCTTCAGCTTGTATGCGACCAGCTGGTGTAAGCTCACCGCCCCATTTTAAAATCAATACTAATGACGGTTCCGTGGGTGCGTCTGATAAAAGAAAACAAAAAAAGATACTATTCATTAATCGGACGATCGATCAATTTAACGGATGGCCTGTGAAAACATACCATCATCAGAGCTAGATCCACGTGGTCTACCCTTTGGCTGATATTTCATTTGTACTTTACGATTAATTCCAGAAAAATGGCCGTACCTGCAGTGATCATTCAAAGAATTAAAGATATTTCTTCAAGAATATCAAATATCATACATTTCCAAAACGCTTTTTAATTGCTCCAATTTGCTTTTCTTCTCTTCAATTTCGGCATCGGCTTTCGTTTCAATTTCGGCTAAGAGAAAACGGGCGATATCTAGGATTTCTTGTAACTGTTTGGGCCGTTTTAATTTGATATGGCCAAATTTGAAGCCATCATATTTTTCAAAAATTTCAAAGAATCTAAACATTTATTGAAAAAGAATTTTAAATCAATTTAACGATTAATTTACAAAATTTACTTTGGATGTCTAACTTCAACTTTCATTTTTTGTTTTGGAGTGCGATCGCCATGACGTATTACTGCCACCACACAACGTAATTCCATCATTTTACCAAATGTTGTGGGCACAATGGGTGGATCATCTAATTGAAAGGGCACCGACCATGGTATATGAAGCGTAGGCGTCAATTCCCTAAGGATCATATTACCAAGTATTTTCGCGCAATCATCATAATATTTATTGGAATTCTTTACAAAACTAAAACCGTTCACATCACAGACATACGATTTTCCATTAGCTCTGGAATAAGACATAAATAGTGAAAAGCTAAAACTTTATAAAAAAAACTGTTTGCTCTTCTTACCTCAACAAATCAAAGCCACACACGGTCTGCTTAAAGGCCAAGCAAACTTTACGTGATATCAGTTTCTCATCGTGATTTAATATAACTGGATAGCGTATCTCTTTGCCTTCACTATCACGTTCGACTTTGCCATCTAATGCTGGACTTTTACGGGCCTCAGCGTGTGCATAATCCGGACCCACCGTATACACTTTGACATCGGTACCTGGAAAATACACTACGTTTTAAAAGTAATACTGAATGTTATAATATTGCCATCACAAATGCTTCATATATTTACAGACAGAGAAAGATATATAGAGAATTTTACATATACATGTAGGTATTGCAATTTGTGAACAATTTTAAGATAAGTTATTGGAAAAAAGTATTTTAAAGGAAACCGATTGTTTGTTCTATATTTATGATTAACAAAATTCTGAACTCAAGCTTTGATGTTTCTTTTCTTCTGTAATTTTATATAATTTTTTATATATATATATATATAATTTTTATATAATTATATATATATTTTTATATATAATATATAAACGCAAAAATTTTTTCATAACACCACGGGCACAGGTTAATAACAACTCTTTATGTTCTATGATTGATTGATTGACTAAGCAATTGAGTTTTCAGTTTCTTTCAGCTGCTAAGAGGTATGAAGAATAATTTATTAAAAATTTGTTTCCTTTCATTTTTTAATTAATATGAGTAATGAAATAAGCAAACATAATACAATGAAAACTTTAAAAAATAATTTCAAGGAAATAACAAAAAAAAAAAACACATGCAATAATAAACAAAATGCAAAACAAAATAAAAAATATAATATTGAAAAAAAAAAAAAAAAAAAAAAAAAAAAAAGCCAAAAACATTGAGTTCACCTTACTTTTAAAGCATTTTTATTGGGATTGAATCTTGGATATCTACCACCTAAGTTGAAAATATATGAAAGTTTATTACTGTTCTGTTAATTAAATGCTTGACATTAAGAAGATTAATATAATTTTTACATAAGATATTCTCAAGTCGAACCTTTTCTCGGAAATATGTTGCCATGTTTAGTTCATTCTTCCCCGCTTTTTTTTTGTTCTGTTTAAGCGATATCTCAGCTGAAGGATTAACTTATGTCCAATTTTTTTAAGCGAAATTAATTAAGATTTCTGTAACAGACATGCAGATTGTTAAATAGAAGACATAAGCATAACGCATCACAAACTCACGTTCCGTGCTTTTACGTTTAAGTCATAGATTGTTATCAATCTTTGTTAACTTTCCTTTAATAAGACGCACGGAAGCGAATTACTGCAATAATTGTGAAATGCATCTTTCCTCATTTCGCTACCTAACTGAGTCTACTAAAATTTTTCACTCTATTCTAAATTCATAATCTTTATGATAACCCAAAGTACGATAATTACATTTAGCTTAAAGACCATAGGGTATCGGTATTGAACAATCGGCATTTGCTGGCTATTAGGTCCTTTTAGTATATATACAGATCTGTAAGTTGTGTTATAACACATTACATTATTGTTTTAGGTGAAGCGTTAAAGAGAGATTGATGAATAGTTTAGAAAATTTTCCAGTACAGCGAAAAGCCTTCTACCATAGAAAGCATCTTTTTCTTTCAATATCTTGCACTAAGCGATGAACAGTGGGTTTCGATTTTCATCGAAAATTTCATAGTAATTCGTAGTATATAAATGAAATAAAATTTTTTCAGCAGTGAAATTTTCACACACATTATTATTATTATTATTTGGTATGAAGGATCAATTTTAAAAATTTATGTATTTAGAGTCTATTTTCAAAATAAACTGGTAAAATTTATATAGTCTGTATGGACCTGTAGTGTGTGTTTTATGAGTAACAAGCAAAAAACAAGAAAATGAGATGTGTTTACAGTTGTTGTTCCATAGGCGTGCGGACGTTTTAGGCGCGTTATTTGACTTCGTCTTGCAAATATCTTGATTTTTACGAACGTGAACATGAAAACTACAGATACTACATAGTACACAGACGCACATCTTTAGGTGCATTCCAAATGTAAAATTGGCCAAGAATTTATATACTTTATGGGGTTTCACAAGCGTGCTTCCGCGCATTATAAAGGCATTGAAAAAAATTCAATTTTAATACACTCTTATTGGGTGGGCATCATTATATTTTCCCATTTTTCTACATGTGCCACAGCATTATTTATAGAATATACGTTGAGATTTTTGTAGATTTATCTGCTAGAGTTGATGAGTAATGAGTAAAAAAACAATTTTTTATTACTTTTGAAAATTAGCAGTGTTCTCACTTTACGTGGTGCAGTAGGTGTTTTCTTCACCCGATTTGGCCCAAATCTGTTTACAGGAACAGTAAATGTGTCTCAAATTTCAAGTCGATAGCTTCATTTTTGCGACTAAGAGAATTTATTCAACAGACATTACTCCGGCGGACATATTTCAATCGATTCAGAATTTGATGCTGATCAAGAATATTTTGTGGGGTCTCTGAAGCTTCCTTATGGGCGCTGCAAGCGTTTTGACAAAATGAATATATCCCACATCCTTGATGATAGACATAAAAATGTAAAAAACATCTACTAAGATCGTTCAATATTTTAATGCAAGTTTGGTATTTAAAATTTTAGTGCAAGGATAAATAAATAGAGAAAAAAAAAAACTAAATTACAACCCGCAACAGATTTTGAACTGATGTTTGTTTTAAATACAACCTACGAAAGTAAAAAAGTTCGAATAGGATTCCAGCAACAGTTCCGATTCTGAAAGTTCAACTTGACCTTAATCTTCGACTATATGAAACAAACAAAAATAATTGTTCATTATTGTACATGTATATTTTATTTCTTGATGATCCATATACTTTGGCATATACTGTGGCCGAATTAATCTATTACACTTTCTCTGACACAAAGTCGGTACGTTCAAAGCAATTTTATACCCTACGATAAAAAGATGGGGGCTTACTCTGTTTATTAAAAGATATGTAACAGCAAGAAAGATGTTTCAAATATTCCTTATATGGCACACATCCTTCGCAGGCATCAAATTCTGAAATTATTTAAATATATCTGACTGTCTATCTATGTAATGCCTGCGATAAACATTCTCTTGCCCGCAAAAATCGAACTATCCGTTTAAAATTTGGCAGAAACATTGAAAGTTCTTGTAGGCCTACAGTGCAACAGTGCAGGCACGATGGAAAAATACTCTATCAAAACAGACAAACATCGCTTTGCACGAAAATGTCCATCAGAATACAAAAAAAATACGCCGTACGTTATCTATAGAGAGAAAGCGGACTGGTAACGACTCATATGATAACGGAGCGACAAACTAAAAGGAGTCAGCGCGGCGAGGCCCGATTTCAATTTTTTATAGTTTCAACGTTTCCACTAAGCACTTAGCTGAAACTAATAACAAAGGAGTTAGCACGAATTCTTAAAAAAAAAATTTTATCGTTACGAGCAAGACGAAATGATAAATTTCGTAGTAATGCAAATCTCAAGTGTAGGCATTTGTGCGGACGTCAGCGTGAATACTGCGTTGTAAAAGAAGAAGTAAGGAAAATTGCAGAAGGCAATTATAGGCAGAACAATTACCAGAGAAGACCTTGTAGCTTACCTTAATGGCCTCATAATGGTGAGAAGAACTTGAAAAGAAAAACATCGTCGGAGAAAACGAAAGTCAAACATAATATTTTCTTCCGTCTGTGGTGTGGTCGATTCAAATATATATTTCTTGAAGGAGGAATGGTAACATGAAAATTATAATAACTGACATTGAAAGAACGAAGGGTCACAACATAAGATGAATAGCTAAGGAAAATTGCACAACGAAATCGTGTTTGGCGTCGTGAGAAAATCGTATTGTGTAGGATGGATCTTGGAATGTGCACGGGATAGACAAAACAGTTCATACGCAACCGTCACAAAGTGTCTCAGTTAACCAGCGAGCAGTCATTTGGCTTCGTAGTTGTAGTATATGACATAAATAAAAAGGCGCGGGAAATAAGGCCAGAGGGTGCAGGAAAATGGAACGGTTTAGAAACCGTAAGTGCTAAGTTGAAAGCTGAAGATGATCAGAGGCGATCTCTTCAGGCTTTTATTGAAGAAGACATAATGTCGCTACATGACTCACCGTAAGAGTAAGAGTTTATCAGTAAAACGGAAAATTAGCTAGAAAGCACTTTACACGGTTATCGCGGGGAAATTAACGATGTGTCTTGGATCCAAGCAGATCCCGGACGTCGAAGTAAGGTCAAGATACAATTAAAATTTTGGCTTATGAAAATTACCTTATTTCCGATGAACAAAATTATGTGGTGTTTAGTCTTACGAAAATGCCGTGATTGGTAAAATAAGTTTACATGGGCACTATCTAATTCTGTTGAAAACAAAATTTTCCAAAATGTTGAGAAAGCAACAAAAATAACAAAAAGTAACAGTACCCTGTGCAGAAGGGAATTAACAAAAAATCACTGTGTTAGCCTGCGGGTAAGAGGATTAACAAAAATATCAGAAAGGCATGCGGCATTCATTGTCTGCCTTGAATATTTAAATGCAAAAGAGTTCCTCAAGTCGGCAATGTTAAATTTTTATATTTTAAATGAGAAATAGAAAGAAGTTTCGGTTAAAAATAATTTCTTGTTCTTAACTTGTCCGTAAATAATTGGTCTAATTTATAATAAACTTTATGTTATTTAAATTCACAACCTAATGCTGCGAAATTACTTTGAATGGTGTTACAAGTGACGAGTAAATATAAAAATAAAAAAAAAAAACCGGTTAACGTGACGATATTCATTACGTGGAAGAACAATTTAAGCATACACATCCAACTAAGTTCTGTCTAAAGCCAACACTGACCGTAAGCTTATTAGAAAACTAAGGGCGAGTTTTGATGAAATGCATAACACTAGAATAACTCCATGTAAACAAAAAATAACTAAAACGAAATAATTAAATAGAATTGTTCAAGCCCCAAGTCCATATAAAATGTGCATGCATTTAAATAGAAACGACAATAAGAATGAAAAACCCAAAGATTATAATCTCAAATATATGAATTAAAGAAAATCTTTAAACCGTAAATATTAATATTAAATCAAAGCGTAATTTTAAAAAACAAAAGCTTTTCAATTATAAATTTTTCAAATAAAAATAATAAAAAATTGCAATAAGTAAATTAAAAATAAAAGAGAAGAGGAAGTAAATTTGAAATAAAAAATTGAACTGGATTACTTACCGTCTGTAGGCATAAAGTCTTCATAAATAAATGAACCGGTTTTGCGAACACGCGATTCGGGTGAATAAACACTACTACGACTGCCAATCTATAATTAAGTATTGAGTAGTAATTGTAACCGTTTGTTCCATTGAAAATTTCAAAACCTTTCTGAATAGCCTTTGACTTCCACCACCAGCAGATGTGGGATAATATATATAAATGTTGTGGTCTTCGGCCGAGACCGGTTTCTCCACAAACGGTTTATTAAATATTACGCCATTTACTTCGACATGATCTTCTGATTCTATTAATTCATGTTCTGCAAATGTAATAAAATGGTAAATAAATAAATTATTAAAAAAATGTTAATAACTGTTATATAACTACATAAGGTAACTAACTCTTAGGATCCGGTGAATCTCGATCCAATACTGCATAACGGGGTATTTCAATGCCCTCTTTCTCTAAAATAGCATAAACTCGTCGTCGATCTTGTATATCGTATTGCATATGTAAGTTATTCAAAACATACGGCTTACGCAGTTGAGCGTATTGAATAGCCTTTTCCAATGGGAAACCTTTGGAATGAAATGATATTAGACAGTCACAAATCGGCCAATTGTCAACAGATTCCTAAAATTTTGTTATATCATAAGAACTTTTTTTTGCCTTTTACATAAGAGATTAATGGTCCATATCTTACTTTTAATATCACTTCCTCCGAAAATATAACCATTTTAATGAATTCAAATTCTTCTAAACGTGTTATGATTTCTTTCATCGGTTTTGATTGAGTTTTCTTGGACATAGCGCAAACCCCCACAACCACTTGTTTGCCTGGATTTGAAGACGTACTGGTGTCAGAATCCATTCCGTCATTACTCTCGCCGAAATCTGTATCACCCTAGGAGTAAAGCGAAAGATTGTAGGAAATTTGTTTCAGCTTTTATTGATTAACATTTGATTTTGTAATAATAGAAATTAATTTTGTTTACGTTGTTTGTTAATTATATAAATGGAATTTCAGTCAATTTTTTCTTCTTTTAAGGAAAATTAAAAAAATAACGAAATATAGAGTTTCCGATATTTTTCCGCTTCACTGCTAAAGTAAGAAAGTAGTTTGAAAAAAAGTAAATAAAAATATTTGTCTTGCGGATAGACTTTCCTAGCCGGAGTCTCAAATTATTGTTATATACAGGAGTGCTGGCTTAGCTCTAATAAATATTGCATCAATCACTTATACGCTATTGTTGGACTTGCGTACACGTATTAGGCGCTATACGGTTCCGTTATATTGATATTACATACATTGATACATTTTGAGCAAATGTGACCAAATTATGATACTCTTCTTTTTTTTATACTCATTACCGAAGGATGAGGGATATATTCACTTTGTCAAGACGCTTGCAACGCCCAGAAGGAAGTTTCAGAGACACCACAAAATATTCTTGATCAGCAGCAAATCATGAATCGATTTAAGTATGCCCATTCATCCGCCTATGTAATATCTATAGTAAAGATTCCGCTGCCTGCATTACTCATCAACTGAACGTATATTTTATGAGTAATGGTATATCACCTGTACAAAGATGGGAAAAATTCATCATGCCTACCTAATATCACAGCTTATCCCCATAGAGGAAACTTTTATAAAATCCATAAAGCATGCAAATTCTTGACCAGTTTTAAATTTGAAAGCCATCTAAGCATGTCCGTCAGTTCGTCTTTTCGTGCGTCTACCAAACTGTGCAGTATCTGTAGTAGTCATTATCCCGTTCGCCCTTCGCAAATTTGCAAAAGTTTCGAAATATCGCAAGCAGATCAGAGAACACGTTTGCCTACATAATCAAAACAGAGTACACCTTTGCTTTCACTGTGTTTTGCTCGTTACTCATCAACTATGGCAGATACACGATAAAAATTTCGATAAAATTATTCTACAAGAATATCAAAAATCAGTCATTTGTCTCTTAATTGCTGTGGTAAACGTAGTCATGGTCGCAAAAAGGAAGATATCTTGTTCAGACACACAACACAAATTTCCACTTTTATTCTACAAAAATAAAAAACAAACAGTTACGCCCACCAAACCTTATAAGGTAGAGAAATTTGATTTTTTCCTTTTTTTTTTAACTTTTTTCAAAATAACGGCGAGAGGTATAAAAAAAATTCAATCGCAGCAGAATATAATTTTCTTACTTGTTTGGCATTCTTTTCTTGCTGTTGTGAGCTAATCGTGCCTACTTTCGAAGTGGTAGGACTTTTATTATTTATCTTAGGTTATCACGTTTGAGAGCAGGATAGGTTAAATTAGCTTAAAATGTAAGCTCCGCTAGACAAGTGCTCATATTGCGGCAAACCGTTTTTTCGATGCATGAATTTATGACATGTAATATAATGAGTGCTTTTCCGTACATAATGAGAAGATCTTATGATATCTGTAATGCTGACTGTTACAAGACGAATGACAAATTCGGCACACGACAGTTGTACAGCGGTCACAATAAAAATTTGAGCGCTTTATCACTTGCAATTCACATTATCATTTTTTTTTAATCAACTGCCACAAAAAGCCGCATATGCTTTAAAACAAACACTATTGTGGCATTTGTTACTTTAATCGAAAGTAATTGCAAATGACTTAAATTATATATTATAACTGTGATCAAGGAATTAATACTTCGGAGGTTTGTGAGCAAATTATTGAGAATATTAGTTTATAGTGAATGCCTTGCGGTTGATGGAACTGAAAGCGAGTCGTTTATAATTAGCTCTTCGGATGTGGCCGAGCAGAGTTGATTGCACACGTTCTTCTCAACAGCTAGCGAGATTAAAACATCCAGAATTACGCAATAGAAAAGTCGATATGTTTCGCTACGTCGAAGGCCAGATAACATTTGGTTTTAATGATTAGAATAAAAATTTAAAAAAATAGGCTACGAAACTTTGATGCGTATAACTGTATAACCAGGGTTTTGGCGCATCCAAATTTTAATCAATTCATTTGGCTCTTAGCAAAACGCTCTTAATGATATAAAAAAAAAAAAATTGAGCTCAAAAGAAGCTTAGGAAAACCGTTTGGGTGAGTTTGTAGTCCCGAAATTCTATAGTGATGACGCAATGATTTTCGATTTTATAAAATTAAATAGAAATGCAAAAAGTTTGTTTCTGAACTTTGGTAAGGCAATCCACACTTATATATGTATATATATGTACATATTCTACTCGCATGAGGAGCCGAGTAGGTAAAAACACCCGACTAACAATTGAATGATTGAGGGTTCAAATCCAAGTGCGGTAGACTTTTCAATATAGACGAGCAATATAATTCCTAAGTCATTCGGCAGCCTTTAACACTATACTCTGTAAATCTATTTACAAAATATATGGGACGATAAATAAATGTGTAAAAAATATAATATATAGAGAGCGTATAAAGATATATAACGGTAGCGAAAAAAATGCATACGAGTACGAATTGATTGGAAAAAATGTATTAAGGAATTTCGATCCTTTAGAGTCTAAGTATTTATTACATATATATATTATAGTGTACTATGATATATATATTTACATATATATGTATGTTTTTTTTTAATAGAAATCTAATTAAACTTTACTTGACCGGAAGTCAAAATCATTGAATAGAAAGACATTGAAGCACATTCTAAGTTAAAAACAAATTACGAACATTGGTTACTCACCACCCGCAATATGTAAAGGAGTTCTTACTTATATATATTACTTCGACTCCGTATTGTGGCATTGGGCGAATATGTAGATGTACGTGAAACAAACTTAGGAACCCGTAACTCATATCCATGCAATTTCGAAAACTCGTAACATTTAAAAACGAGTAATTCAATGACTGTTATAATTATGGCTATATTTCCAGTTCTATTAAATAGCCCTTAGTATATCTTTGAACATTTTTCCAATCTGTTTATAATAAACAAAAGAATTTTTATCTGAAATTAAATTCAAAAATCAGCTCTATCAAGCTATGGATGAGCAAACAGAATTTTGGTATTTTACGTTACATTGTTTCATATTAACATATGTATAATATTTGCAAAAGTGAAAGCTAGCCAAATCATGGCAAGCTGTCAGCCATCAGTAGCCATATTGTTGTGCATTTATTAAAGTATTTACTTTGTACAAATATGTTGGTAGATGTTCCATCTTGCATGCACATCATATAAGTGATATATTCACTGGCGAAACATGCGAAATAATTATCGTAATTCATTGAGGATTCAATATAAACAAGTTCGGGTTCTATCAAAAGGATGTAACATGGAAATTTCCTTATGGCATCTCTTGCGATATAAGGTTATAATAAATTTGTTCGGACGTGTACAACATCCACAAGGATTTAAGATAGACTTGAATTATTTTCATCAAATTTGGTACATCGACATGCTTTGGCCCAGGAACGAATTACACTGAAAATGCTTTGAATGATATGAATAACTCTAGGAGGATGGTCCATTATAGTGTTACCACTTGTTTTTTGTATATAATGTTCCACTTTAAATTTAAGAAATGAGATATTTGATATAAGGCATATATAGACAGACCGGCTGACATGCTTACGTGAGTTGAATATTAAGAACTTGTATATGTACTACACTTTATCGACCAACCATTTCATACTTCCAAGTGTTAGAAACGAACGGAAGATATTAATGTGCCAAGAAGTAAAATGTCACCGTTTTTCAAACTTCTACCTAACAACTAAGAAAGTAGAACCGAATCTTGTATACCGACCGCCATCCATTTCATCACACCAATACCGTGATAAGTTCTTCACTTCATCCTACCGTTTCAGATTGCTATTATATATATATTATTAGCGGTAAATCGGTATTATGTGGCTTCAAAAACTTTACCTGAATGTATTCACATACACTGTATATTTATTTATGGCGAGCGTGGTTGTCCATATCCATTTTTGGGACAAAAAAGGAATACCTTTTCCACTGTAACTTAAGAGTGGCGAGCAAAAAAACATGAAAAGCTAAGTTAACTAAATTTTGATATTTTATAATGATGAGCGGGCATATTAAATTATTTCGAATTAAAAACCTCGGGTGTAGAATTTTCAATTTTCTGTCCTCGTCATCTTATGCGCAATAAACATAAAATGTGAAAAATTGAAAAAATGAAAATTTGATCACTTATAAGCTTGTGTAGGCGTGGTTGATTTTCAGCATTTCTGACAAACATAGCAGGGTTTTTAAGAAAATTTTTGCCTTCGCTCTCTTATAATTAATAATTACACCGCCATTCTTGGTTGATGAGTATAAAAATAATAAATTTAGAGGGCGGCAAACTTGTTTATCTGCTTAAAGACGCAAATGAAACATGTAAAAAAACTACAAATATTACAGCTAATCAAATATACGCAAATAGTAAAACCGGCATTTAAACAATCATCCCAATAACAAAAGTCATTGACTTCTTCAATGTCCGATTCGAATGTTATGTCTGTATCGATATTGTTAAGCACACCTTCGTCGCAATACAATGCATTATTGTGCTTGTTCCCGTCATAAGCGACTGTTATATGTTTTTTATGACCTCGCCGTTTATGACGTTTTTATTTCATCATAATGTCCTCATCATTATCATCATCGTTTATATACTTTTCAAAACCACTGACATTATTTGAACTATTATCATACTGATGGGTGAAACTAATAAGGTTTTGTGGCGTTGAATGACGATTTTTGCGAGTATGGTACTGCGAACGGCAATGTTTTAAGTGCCACCAGTCCTTTAACCGAGTCCACTCCATTTTAATAATGTTTAATTTTTAAATAATAACATGTGCATGTGCGCCTAATTAAACGCCAATTACCGCCCTCGCGAAACAACTGACAAACACTGAAATTTTCT